TACCCAAGGGTAAATCAAGGGTAATTATAAATGTCAACAAATCGAGCAGACTTCCGTACATTATTGTAAAACTATATGTATTCAGCCCTTTTTTAACGTCCCACTGCTGGGCACGGGCCTCCCTTCAATACGACGGGGATCAGGCCATAGTCCACCACGCTGACCAAGTGCGGGTTGGCGGACTTCACATGTCTTTCGAAAACTTGCTAAATTCTCTCAGACATGCAGGTTTCCTCATGATGTTTTTCTTTCACCGTAAGTGGTAATCATGTTAGAAATGATTCGCACATGAAAATATCAGAGGTGCGAGACCCGGGATTTGAACCCGCTTCACTCGGTTTCCCAAGGAAGCGCGTTACTGGGCTACCACTGCCTATAAAACTATATATATATATATATATATATATATATATATATATATATATATATATATATATATATATATATATATAGGGGATGAACCCGAGCGAAGCGAAGATGAGTAAAAAAGTAGAATAGATAAAGCCAAAGAGTTTCTTGTAGATTGAAAGCTGCGAGTTCTGCTAGTTCAACAACATAAGTACATAGATGATATTATTGAGTATGAAAACTGAAATTCTATTTAAATAGTATTGTGTAATCTCTGGTTCTTAATTCGTTACATTTAACATAAATCATGATTATTTTAACCTTACGTATATCGTAAATAAGGAAAAATAAACAACTTCTCATACATATTATAGTAATCACTTATATATATTATTATATATATTAAAATCCTGATACTAAATAAATGAAAAACTTTTAGACTGTCGGTTTCTGCGCTTAGATATATACTCGGTTTTTTTCCTTCGAAGCGCAGCAACTCCAAATCTGACTAGTGACTAAGTACTACATATTATAAATGCAAAAGTTAGAATATATATATGTGTACTTGTTACTGCTTTACTCTAAATCGGCTGGACGGATTTGGATAAAATTAAGTACACAGATATCAATAATACATAAGTTAAATATATAAAGAATCTAATTGTGTAAAAGACTTTAATTATATATCAGTACAACTGGAAATCAGCTAGATGTAGTATCTACTAAAAAATAGATAAGTTTTATTTTAATCTGTTGAGTAGATATAAACTTATCATGTTTTTATATTTAGTGGTTGTGGATAAAATACAAGTGGCAACCCGCAGGTAAGTTCTAAATAATTTATATGTAGAATAGGAATCCAGTTTAAATTTAAAAATTCTTATAAGTTTAAATCTAGAAAAAAAATCTGTATTATCCTATACAAGCTATTACATAATATCGTCGCTTAAAAATATCTAAACATACTGAGAGTTATTTTTACATAATTTTTTTCTCTAATTACTTTATATGGCTTGGACGAATTGTGGGGGCGGTTATAGGTATCTTAACTATGATAATTTATCGCGCTTTTAAAGGAAATATAGTAATAAACTGATTATAATATTATCTTTGTTGTAGCGGTCCTTTTAAGTCCTCATCGTATGGTAATTGAATTAGCCTTTTATGATGAAATTGATTTTAATATTTTTTTATTTGTCTGGAAAAGCTTAATAAATAACGTTTTAGCAAAATCCAAATATATAAATAACAGAGATATATAAAATTGCATTTAAAAATTATAACTATTCATTTTTATTAGTAAATACGTAGATCAGTAGGTACTCATCAAGTCCAAGAGTTTTTATGGCTGTATAAAAAATGTGCATTCAAAAGTTATTAGATATTATACCTGCCCAGTGATAAATTAAAATTAGCTTAGCATTAATAGGGCCGATTAAATAGATTTGTGAGGCCCTACCGGTGGGTAAAAGCCAAGATTCCATAATTGGTTCTCGCCCACTGACCATTTTTGACCCGGATGAAATTACACATATATCGATTGGTTTTTATACAACGTACGCATAGTTTACGTCGTAAAATTGCAATCGAAATGTAAATATGTCAGGTGTGAACTCATAAACCCTAATTTTTTTAAGTTTTGAGGAAGGTATGGTGAGAACGTGTCAGTTAATCTGTGTCGTCTGCCTCTTAGGCATATTTAGTTTGTTTACGCTCAGTTGGACATGGGAGCGGCAATGACCATGATTCGTTACGGTTTGTTCTTCGCCATCGTCATTAGAGCACTTTGTTTGTCGTTTCGGTTACGCGTTTAAAATTACTTTTTGTCACACGAGCTTCACATTTTACTGAAATTGATATATTTCGAAATGTTCTCGAAACAATGCAAGAAACATGGAAGAAAAAAACTTTTCGTCACACATCCCATTTAAAAACAAAATATAAAATCATCGTAATACAAATATATTTAATATGCGTTGAACAATTTCATTACATACATTGTACAATGTACATCATTATGAAGCAAAATTTACCCAATGATGATATCCACTTAGGTACATTTTGTATAAAATATTACATATTTTTGTTTCTTGATATCATCATTAAGAATCATCATAATTAAATAATTATAATATATATGAAACATAATAGGCTTTATGTTGCTTATATTGAAAAAAATAATATAGCGTACTTTACACATGATAAATGCTTATAGTTTAATAAATGAGAGTAAGTAATCCGGACTATCAACACGCTTCCACAAATATAGGAACACAGTAAAATTCCTTGAACTGCCGATAGTGTCCCGCATTCCCTTTCGCGGTGATTTCCGAGAAAATTCGTCCAAGATCCGCTATGCAAGATCTTCCAGCTTGGACCCTAGTTACTGTCGCCCACTCGTCCCCATTTAACGCGATTCGACACCACAATGAATCGAAGATTGCTTGAGCCTCGTCAGTCGTAGCGTCGGCATCAATCTGTTAACGCTGCATACGCGCGTACTCCTGTACCATAGATTTTTATATTTACGGTCATTTTTTCATAAGAAATTTGTGCTGTGAAATTGATTTGTAATACTGGATGATGTGTGAGACGAATTAGGTTAGTTGTGTGACGGCGCACTCTACATGCTGGCGTTCTGAATAACGACTGAGAAAATTATGAAGTTTTAAAATGGTTGCTTTAGCAATTTGTCAAGGCTTGTTTTGACATATATTTTAACATTTTTAGAATAAGGGACATTTATAAATGTTAGTCCTATAATAAAAGTGCAGTGCACTTTCGTGTTGCTGAATGTCAACAGTCAATCAAAAGCTTGTGAGGTCTTAGCATTTAGTGTTATAGACTACTTTTATTTCGTAAAGGCATAGGAGTATAGAGTATATAATTAAGATAGTAGTATTATCCTAATTAGCTTTTGCCCTAGGCTCAGCTTCTGGAATTTATTTATGTATTTCTCTTATACCTAATATGAAATATGAAACGCGAAAAGATTTTTTACTAGCTCAAACAATCAATCTTTTGCGACTTTATATGTATATATCTAAAGAGTATAAGTATCTATATATTATATTTTATAACGCAATTGCTTTATTATTAAATGTACTATGATCAAATATGAATTTGCTATGTCATATTGTCTTGGAAACGGCAATGAGTTAAAACTTGTTTAAACAGTGTTGCCTATTTGTATTGTTATCAATACAAGATAATAGGGCACAACGTAGAACGTTTGTTTACTGTCAGTTTTGCCTTCTCAATACGGTGTGAAATGCGACGTAAATCTCTGCTGACATCTTCATGCATTATTTATTTACAAGCATTGCCCGCGGCTCCGCCCGCGTTCAGATGACCAAAAACCAAATTCTTAGGTTTTACATATTAGTATACTCTTACAATGCAGTTTTTGTGTTTTTGTATTTTTCCTCAGAAATGAGATATTTTCCCGCGGTAAATAGTATCCTATATGTTGATAACCAGCTATCATCATACCAAATTTCTTCAAAATCTGTTCAGTTGTTTTCTCGTGATGCGGTAACAGACAGACAGACAGACAAAAATTCTAAAAACTAAAGATTCGGTCTCTCTATCGATAATAATGTCTATTACAATTAGATTTCCTAAAAAATATTTAATGTACAGATTCGACTTAGTTAGAATTTTATTATATGTATAGATATCAATTTCGATGCATATCGTATAGTGTTTTTTTAAATTAACAATTTATTATTATTACAAAATCATACAACTGTCATGCCTCTCCTAATATTAGAGTTATTTAAAAAATCTTTGAATTGTACTTGTGCATAATAATGCCTTTGAGTATTGTTTAAGGATGTTTTATTATTTTATAACTAAAGGATTAATTACTTGTTTTTAATATACAGGGACCTTGAAACCCACTCTGAAGATCTACTCCCACGTGTCACTTCTAATGCTTATATGACGATGTTAGGGTTCCGTATGAAGAACAATAAATTACATTTTTCTTTGCCTATAAAAAGTTATTTTTAAATATTTGCATCTATAGTTATAAAGATCTTCTATGGCCCAAAAAGCAGGTTAATTTTGTTTACCTACGACCACGTTAGTTTCGCTGGGTTTGTAGGGCGTCGCCCGCCCACCACAGTATATACAATTTATAATGACTTCTTATGTAACTAAGTACTATAGTTAATTACAAATGTGAAATGCTAGAAAGTTTTGGGCTATTTGCCTCAAAAAACCTTTTTTTAAAAATGACACTCTTAAAGTTAAATATATAAATATAGACATAGAAAGCTAACACGAAGTTCTATTCAATGTTTATGATTATTCAAGACTCTCAAGGTTAACGTATTCATAATAATAAACTCATTACTCCTAGCTAAATTACCAAGTGAATCATAATTTTGCGATCGGAAGTACGGCAAATGGGTTAATGAAGTCTGCGATGTTATGAAATATAACGTCAATGGCATCAACCCGACGGGAATAGATAGTCGCGTAACGCCGCCCCGTCGCCAGCTGTAGTGTGACCGCGCTATCATCCGGCATCACTCGCGTCGATAACCCTACGTCTCACACCAAAATAACCAGTCTTCTCACAACCACAGTCGTAAGACGACTGCCTGAAAATTAAATATCCCCCGCCTTTTATACTCTCGAGAGGGATGGCGTCTGTGCGCACGCGCTCAGCATCCCCCAAGTCTGTTTCGTTCTCTCCTGTGCTAGAACGTAAATACAGTGTCGAACGACCAGTGGAAAGACCCGAGTTAAGTGCTACGGATTGGAGGAAATATTTTAGCGATTTCAGTTCGTATCTAGGTAAGTGCACAAAATAGTGTGACCTGAAATGAGTCAAGATGCTTTTATTACACGGCCTTGTTCTATATCGGTGACTTGTTACTTACTGGAGCGTTTGGGAGGCGATACCGTAAACAAACTGCGCAATCGCAAGTAATAGACCGTTAATATTTTGTTCATTTTTCTTGATACTTTATATATATTTATGTATGGAATATTATGAAAATCTATTTTTTTTTTGTTATTGACTTTGAATGTACAAAATAAGAAAAAATTACTTTGCCAATAAATAGGAAGACACACGTTAGTGATTGATTGGCAGAATAATAATTAATTTATTTATTGGACTAATAAAAAGTATCATGTAAATTAAATAACAGGAAATCTGACTCTGATTTGATCTACTGATGACATGAACCCGCCTTTTAAAAGTTATGTTTGCAAGGGCCAACCCCCTTGGCCTTTGCATGTGCCCTCATAGCTTATCTCTTGAATTTTGTAGTATAATTTCTTTAGCATCTGTAAAATTGTAGTAGCTATAATTAGTAAAAGAAAATGACCTTCCTATCAACGAAGTAGATCGATTTATTCAGTTCCCTAATGTAGCTTAAATACAATTTATGAATGACTATATGATGAAGTATAAACATCAATCCACCTTTAAAATTTAAACGTAATCATTGATTGTTGATTACGTATTGGTTACAATTATAATCGGTATCCATTACAAAACCACTATTCACAAGGCATCTGCAATTCGCCACTTGAGAGTTGAAAAGCCATTTAATGTATTGACTAGCACTTACAGAAGCATCATTATTGTATTACTTTGACATCTTTGATAGCCTTCACTTATATGCAACTAGCGATACTCCCTCGCTTCGCTCGGGTTCATCCCTAGTGAAAAACAAAATCAAATCCCACGGAACTGTATATTCTTTCGGGACAAAAAGTAACCTATGTGCTATTCTAGACTATAATCTATATCTGTGCCAAATTTTATCCAAATCCGTTCAGCCGTTCTGGCGTGATTGAGTAACAAACATCCATCCGAACTTTCGCATTTATAATATTTGGTATGGGAAGCTAATTATTTACAAGACATTAGACAATACACTATTTCTAATTAAATGTTATTATTTATGCTAAAACTATCACAATTTTACATGAATAAAACTATGATTAAAATTAATTATTAAAACCAGTAATGATCATCTAGTATGTGGCAATCGATGCATTGCCTAATGAAATAAAGCACGTTGTATCAAGAAGTGTCAACTTGCAGATAACCTTGCGGTTAGCGTTTATACCGCGAAACTGCTCTTTTACTGTATCTTCTATATATTTGACTAAATTATGAACCCGAAATTAAATTAATCTTGAGAAACAACTCTTTTGAATTCCGTTTAGCTTAATGATTAGAGTCTATCATTCCACCGACCGGGTCAAGTTTACTTATCGAATTTGTTAAAAAGCGTTACAAAATTGCTTACAACTATGTAGAGCTACTCTATTAATTTGACAAAACAGGACATAGAGTTAGTACAGAGGGCACTGCGTCGTTGGTCTAGTGCTAACTTGTATGGCCGCAGATCTAGATGTTCTAGGTTTGAGTATCAAGTATAGTTATTGTGTATTTCTCAAGAAAATCTCAGTAATAATTCGAAGTTGGGAAGGTAAAGGTTTTGCACCACTGTGCCAAGGAAGCACGTGAAACCGTCGGTCCTGTGCCTGATCTTTCACTAAATATACTTACTATCTCCTAGGTATATATCTAATAGGACCATATGGCTAGTCCGTGTGAGAAGAGGTCTCATGGAGGTCATTATATGCATATAGCAAAGTTTTTGTAATTTTAATACGCACTATTAGTATTGAACTTATTGATATAAGCTAAAAAAATTGTGCGCTTTTAGTTTGCAAATTTTAATTTAATTTTTTGAAAGTAATAAAAAAATGCTTTCGTGACGAATATCTTTATAAAAATCGAAATGATGCGGTTGAGAATTCACCAACCTATTTTTGTACTTACTAATACACTACACGGTCACATTGCTTTTATAAATTAATAGGCGTCGATAACTTTGGGAATATGCATCTGTTTTTATCGTTATTCAAAGTTAAAATGCGTAAAATATTGGTAAAAATTTCAACATATATATAAATAATTACCATAATAAATAATATTAGAACAATAATCGTACAAACAAAAGGTACCTATTCGACAGAACATAGCGTACCCAAATATTTTACCTATGACCTCCGTAATATGTATGTAATTTTTTCACCATTGGAAATGGACCATCTTATCCCATATGTTAACATGAATAAATCATCTTAATTATTTTTAAATATTTATTTTATCATTTATTTTTTTATGGAATATTTAGAAAAATAAATGTATCACCTTTCGCCTTTAATCAAACTTTTTTGGTGATACATTATTATAGGGTTATGGTTGATTTATTTTATTCATAAATGGCAATAATTATGTATATTTTTAAGAAGCAAATTAAAATATGTACATAATATGTTGTTTCGACATGGCAACTAATTACACTTCAATTAATGGGAAAAATCGCATGGTCTTAAATGGGATTTAATTGTTATTTTATTTTTGTTGTAATGATAGTTTTGAATAATGTAATATAAATAGTTTTAATAGTGTAATATAAATAGGCACCAGCAGTTTTTCTTAAGAGATCGATATCGGATGATTTTTTATTTTCCTCATTTTTTTATTTCGTTTTAAATTATTTGTTATTTAATTTGAACTTTGCAGTTTCTGCGCAAGCTTACAAGCTCACTACATACTCGTATCGTGTACCTATAACATTACCGTGACTTAAGTCTTGAGTAAATTCGTGCCTAGAGTTCCGGATATCCTTATGTTCCATTCTAATCAATCATTTTATGATTTTGTTAAATAAACATATTGAATAAATCAATATGTAATTGATAAAGTATTTAATCTGTACATATAATAAAATTTTAGCTTAGTCGAATTTATACATTAAATATGTTGTGGAAAATCTTATTGAAATAGTAATTATTATCGATACAGAGACCTAATCTATAGTTGTAGAATTTTTGTGTCTGTCTGTATGTCTGTCTGGGAACGCATCACGAGAAAACCACTGGACAGATTTTGATGAAATTTAGTATGATGATAGCTGGTTATCCGAGTCAACATATAGGATACTTTTTACTGCGGGAACCGTTAAACCGTACCTAGGAGCTAGGGACGAACCCAAGCGGAGCGAGGGTGAGTCACTACTATTATATAAAATTTTACGATTTCATTATTCATCGACCACATTAATATTTTTGTCGACGCAATAATAAATAATAATGGAAAAATAATAATCCTGAATGCAAATCACTTTTAAGAACACCTTAAAATAAATATTATTAATCTATTTGTATTGTATTTCCATTTATAACACTTAAAAGTACTATGTACATAATGTTACGTTTTAAATTGACATTTATTCTCGTTGTATTTTAAAAAACTTGCATTAATTTTCATTTTTTTTAAATCCATAGAGACTCAATGACTATTGCCCAAAATTAGCAATAAAATGTCGGATATTTGCACACCAAATATTCGATATTTCGATGTTGTGTATAGATCCTGACCTCTCAATACACAGTAAACATACTAATTCTACAACCGAAGCCTCAGAGCAAGCGAGACAAATTCCGCAAAGTACGCGTCATCGAATGACGCCTCCTCATTATCACGCCGGCGCGGCGTCAGCGTGTCCATTGATCAACTTGTACTTTCAAGCGTAAAAAGCGCTTTTATAAGAAATTAAAGAAAATTATTATCAGAAAATTAAACTAACAGAGCAAACATGTTAATTTAATCAGCAGTTACTTGAGGCTTGGTTAGATATTTGTATATTTTATAAAATGTAAATTATTCAAGCATTTTAACGTACCGCTAATGAGATGCGGGAAAAGTAGATAACAAAATCTAGATCTAAAAGGTAGGTCAATAACCTTACAATGATACTATTATCTCAGATAAAGCAGATACCAAGATAAGCTACTAAATTAACGCTTTCACTCAATATCAAACAGGAATACCAAATATTTATGAACAATGTGTTAGGCCGTGCGCGATTTTTGCGGTCTGCGCTCGAGGTGAATCAGTACTACATTAGTCCATAAGACAGTCGCCCGCGCCTTTAGTTTGAAGGCAAAGAATTTATATTAATATATAAATTTAGATTTTTATTCCAATAAGCTTTTTGTGTCTACTTTAGTTGTAATAAGCCGTAAAGTATATTTAAAGGTGCATATACTTAACGTAAATTTAGTGTAGTACTTCTATTCAAAGTGGTGTTAATATGTCTAAAGCTCATTATTCGGTCAATGATGATGTTTACGGCAAAATATTAAAAACTCACACAAATTTGCAACCTCAAACGGATTACGCAGACGTCTTCGAGGCAGTTGAAGGGCTCGGTAATATTTCACAATCTATACGAGTAATATAACAGCTTTAGTACATACTCATTAAATCAAGAGTAAAATTTTATTATCTTGTTTATCTATTAGCCTATTTTCTATCGAATAAAGACCCTTTGATGTGTTTAGTGACAAAGGCTATAAAATATTGAGTGTTACGACTCCGACTGAGAGCTCTCTGTGGTATCTCATGAATAACTCTGTTCTTTGCGTTGTTTGACCGATAACGCATTACGTACTGTGGTAAGGACCAAACACCAAATTCATAAATTAAAGAATTCGGTTGCTAACTGTATGAAAGGATGTTTTGAGGTGGATGAACTCACTCGAAATGAAACTCGTTTTTGGTAAACACGAGATCAAGGCTGACTAGGGCCATGAAAGTATTAAAAAAAATCAATAACTTTCATAATATTTTAAAACTTTAGCAAGATTAAACAAAGCGCCGTAATCTAAACCAAAATTTAAAACAACATTTAATTTTGTACATATATTTTGTTGACTTTCCAATAATTACACTTTGTTGACATTCAAGTTAATTGTTAGTTATGACTCCGACCCTATATTGAAGCCAATTAGATGATACTCGATTTATTTTAACTAAGATGACATCACTTGCTTTATGGTCCATTTCACAACTATGCCTAGTGAGCCTGAGCACATATTGTTACAACAAGATTATTCGAAATTCGTGATGGAAAAATAAATACAAATCTAATTATGTATCTGGTAACTCTACTTATAATTTTTGGGAGAATTCCTAACAGTTGAAGTTTTTGTTTAAGTATATAATACGAGTATCATAAAAGAGCCTGTAACTTATACTTATTGTTTAAACAAATATACCGATTGAAGATATTTAATTGTTCGTTTTCTTTAATTTCAGATGCCCTACTCGCAGATCTTCAGAACTCAATAAATCCGGGACGAGTAAGCAGTCCTGGTGGGAGAACTAATTCACCAGGAGCTAGAACACAATCCCCCGGCAGGACTGCCTCTCCTCTCGGGCGTGGGAGTTCACCTGGTCGCTTGAGCTCGCCTGGAGGCAGCCTTAGCTCCCCAACATCGACCGGATACGGCTCAATTAATGGCTCAAGAAATATTGGCTCAGATTACGCAAAACCTGCTTCAGTAAGTACAATAACGGTGTACTCAATTTAAAGATATTCGTTCTCAGTTTTAATGGTTTCTCTTATAAATTACTAGCATTGCCCGCGGCTCCGCCCGCGTTTTAATGACCAAAAACCAAATTCTTAGATTTTACATATTAGTATACTGTAACATTGCAGTTTTTGTATTTTTTCTCAGAAATGGGATATTTTCCCGCGGTAAAAAGTATCCTATATGTTGATTCGGATAACCAGCTATCACCATACCAAATTTCATCAAAATCCCTCCAGTTGTTTTTCTGTGATGCGGTAACAGTCAGACAAAAATTCTTAAAACTAGATTCGGCTTCTGTATCGATAATAATCTTTATTTCAATAAGATTTTTTGAAAAATATTTAATGTACAGATTCGGCTTAGTTACAATTTTATTATATGTATAGATGAAGAAAATGTGAAGGACGTGTGCTTGAATAATGGTACTAATATTATAAATGTGAAAGTTTGTGTATTTATGTATGTGTTTGATCCTCCTTCGATTTGGATGATATTTATTACACAGATAAACTACGACTTAGAGAAAACACAAGTTGGCATGAATTAAATAAATGAAAAATAAATAAATGAAATAAACCTATGAAGATCTGATGTTAGAGGAATGTTTTATTATTATTGATAGTTATATGACTTTTTATAATATAATCCATCCATGCTTTAAAAAATGGAACCCTAATAGGATTACTTGCGTGTCAGCTTGTATTTATCATACCGAAATCGTTTGATGAAAAAAGCTAAAATAAATCATGTAGACTACAAATACATACATAGAGTTACGTGACCTTATTATAGAAGAAAGAGAGATAGAGAAAGTATAAATAAATTAATAAATTTGAAATTTAATTTTGATAGTTAATTAGGTGTAGAGATATGTCAATTGGAAGGAACATAAATAATTTAAAGAGAAAAATATTAAGAAAACTCTACTTACTCTATTTATCTAATCTAATTCCCATGATACAGAATCCTTCTCCACATAAGTTCGACTCGCGTTAATTTTAAATTCTGAACCAAACAAGAAAACGGAATAAAACAGTTTATTTTATCTGAATATGTAACAGATGCGTTTTTCCCCATTGAGGTCCAAAATGTACTAAAAACACCACCATGTAGAATATTCAATAACGTATAGTTAGTATATGTACATACATTGTACCTACTCGTTGACTGCCTCGGTGATGTAGTGGCTCGCATGTACGGCTGCACATTCGAAGGTTTTGGGTTGAATCCCAGGTAGAGTCAAGTTAAGTTATTGAGTCTTTCTGTTAAGAAAAACTTACAACCCGGAGATGAGAAGTTAACGGCGTATCATCCCCGTGCCTCGGAGAGCACGTAAAGCTTTCGGTCCTGCGCCTGATCTCACACCGGTCGTGTCGAATTATCATCCCTTCGGAATTTGAGAGTAACAGGAATAGAGAGCGCTCTTGTATCTGCGCAAACACTTGTGCACTATAATATCTCCTGTGCTTATTGGCTAATCTCAGTTAGATTGACCGTCTTGGCCGAAATTGTTCGAAAAGACATCACGTACTTTATTTACGTATTGTAAACAACACTATTTTTTGTAAATTTTGCAAAATTATATAATTTTATTAAATATATAAATAAATACGTGAATATCAAAAATGGTTCAGCACAATTTTAGTTTTTTTTTGTTTATTCGAATAAAAAGAGGCAACATAATATCATCCGAAAGTGATTTTATAAAATCACATGTGAAATGAACAAAAAAACTCGTGTGTATGTTGACGTTATGGTGAAGTAAAGTGAACATACACCGTGTTTTTCCTTATAAAAAGCTTTGAGTATACTGTATACATATAAGTATATATTTTGATCACGTTCGATTTTGAGCACGTTAGCTGTATGACATTTAGTCGAAATTCAACCACAGACGATGCTACTAAAAATAAATCTAAAATTTTACACGTATTGTATTGTACATTTTAAAATTTATTCTATACGTTTTAACGTTTGGTAAAAAGTATCCTATATGTTGACCCGGATAACTAGCTACCATCATACATCAAAATCCCTCCAGTAGCTATTCCGTGATGCGGTAACAGACAGACAAAGATTCTACAAACAATAGATTCGGCCTGTGTATCGATAATAATGACTATTTCAATAAGTTTTTCCAAACAATATTTAATGTACAGATTCGGCTTAGTTTAATTTTATTGTATGTACTCGTATATTCAAGTTGTGGTAACTTGACACTATTGAGATTTCATCACACAAATCTATATATATAAAAGAAAGTCGTGTTAGTTACTTCGCTTATAACTCAAGAACGGCTGAACCGATTTAGCTGAAAATTGGCAGGGAGGTAGTTTAGAGCCAGGAGAAGGACATAGGATACTTTTTATCCCGTTCGACCGCGTTCCAATTTTTATGATATTTTAATTTTTGGATTTCTCTTAGTCCGGAATAGGTAAGTATTAAAACATATAATTAAAATGTGAGAAAGAAAGATTTTTTCTTTTTATATCTATTTAAAACGTACCTAGCGACGAACCCGAGCGAAGCGAGGGTGAGCCGCTAGTAGTTATTAAAAAAATGTCTGTTTGTCTGTTTGCCTGTATGTCTGTTTGTCTGTTTTTGTGTGCGCGTTTCACGCGAAAAGTAATGTACTAATTTCAACGAAATTTGGTGAAGTGATAACTTATTACTCGAGTCAACATTTACACGCACGGGCCTCCCTTCAGTACGAGGTGGATCAGGCCATAGTTCACCACGCTGGCCAATATCAGAGGTGCTAGACCCGGGATTTGAACTTGCTTCACTCGGTTTCCCAAGCGAGCGCGTTACCACTGGGATACCACTGCCTAGATACCTTTTACTTAAAGAAAATCTTTCTTTCCCACGGGAAAATATAATAACTGGTTTTATCGAGTCCTCCCTAGAAACCTTCCTCTGGCTAAGCCTTAAGACATACATCAAAACAATATACTAAAAAATTGTAGGTCTTGAAAATCCTACAGAAAAGTTCTGAATAGTATATGTCTATCTCCTAAGTTACACTCGCAATATTTATTCTTATCTATACCTATATAATAAAACTTAGTCAAATCGATGTGCGCGTTTCACGCAAAAAGTACTCAACCGATTTTAACTTCATTTTGTATAGTGAAAAAACTTAGTGCTCGGGTCAACATTTAGAATACTTTTTACGACTTCAAACGAAATTATTCATTCCCACGGGAAAATACAATAACTGGTTCTATCGAATTGTCCTTAGAAATTTATATGGCTAACGTTGGCTCAACCTTAAGAGATAGATCAAAACATTGTATAAGAAAATTGTAAGTCTTAAAAAAGTCTATAGAAAAGTTATACATAGTATATGTCTATCTTCTAAGGTACACTCGCTATAACTATTTTCATTATTATATATTTCTGTTTTATTATACGTTATTTATTCTATCTGAATATAGGTACATATATGAATAATAAAACTGTAGAGGTCGAATGTCTGTACATAGATGGTAGAAAAAATTGCTAAAAAACGAGTCAATTCTCTTCTTACATCCCGTAAGAAGAGAAATAGAACAAATCCAGATTTTTTTCAAATTTTTTGTTTCTCTGTCTGTTTGTCTGTTCGTACGGGCTAATCTCCGATACTATTGAACCTATTTAAATGAAATTTGATACTTTTCATTCTGTAAAATTAAAGAGTTCCCGTGGGATAGTTAAAAAATTATAGTAACTTATACAGCTCAGTACACAACAACTTATGCACCTAATTTAGTAAAATTTGGCATGCTGATACCTTATATTGCAGGTCAAACAACAGGTTACTTATTTTTATCCCGGAAAAATGAACGGTTCCCGTGGATCCCGTGGATGGATAGATCTGTTTGTGCTTTTCTAGAGGTGAACCCGAGCGAAGCGAGGGTGAGCCGCTAGTTGATATAATATATAAGTCAACGTTGCGTGTAATTTGTATACGAGTTTTAAAGGGTCTAATAATTAATAATTCATACTGATATATTTAAATTTTAAGAAGTGCTGTTACACGATGTCCAATATATACTTTATTACGATTTTACGTATGGACAGTGAAAAATTTTGCTCTGGTTAAATTGTGTTTTATTCCAACTCAACAGTGGCAATTGACAAACATGTGACCATGTTTGCTGTAAAGCATTCGAAACATCAAAGACAAATAAAATAAAACCGCGACAAAATCCGAAAATGCATTTTATATTCTTATTTAAATTTTAAAATGTCAAATATGAGCGTAAATCTAAAAAGTATAAAAAATACTTAGACTAGCTATTAAAATTTATGGATATAATTTAAAAGGTGTTTCGCATATTAATTACATACTGAGAGATAGCAATCAAAAAATCAAATATAATAAAAAACTTATTGCCAGCACACAAAAACGCACATGTATGCATAGATTTATTTATTCATCATTCACCATAGTATCAGTCATAACCGTTGACTCTATACTTATTTATTATATCCTCCAAACTTCTTTAGTTACTTTGAGGTTTTGATTTATAAATAGTATTTCGATGTTTTTATCATTTCAATTTCCATTGTTTGCAAAAAGAGGTGTTATCTATACGTATAATAAAATTATAACTAAGCCGAATCTGTTCATTAGATATTTTTTGGAAAATCGTATTGAAATAAACATTATTATCTATAATTTTTAGAATTTTTGTTTGTCTGTCTGTTACCACATCACAGAAAAACCACTCGGGGGATGTTGATGAAATTTGGTATGGTGATAGCTAGTTATCCGGGTCAACATATAGCATACTTTTTACCGCGGAAAAATATCTCATTTCTAAAAAAAAATACAAAAACGGCAATGTTAGAGTATACTAATATGTAAAACCTAAGACTTTGGATTTTGGTCATCTGAACGCGGGCGGAGCCGTGGGCAATGCTAGTTTAACAATAAAATCAAAATATTTATTTAAAGAATTTATAATGTAAGCTTTACAAAGAATATTAATATCAAGTTATCATTCCAAGATGTAAGATAGCAAGGAGCGATGCAACTATTATATTGTACTTACATATTTCTACACTGGATTTAGACGAGCCGAGCTTCAGCAATTTTTTTTATTAAGGCGGCTTCGATAAAATTTATGTTCTTTAAAAATAACCAACTCCCTTAGCCAGAGCTTCGAAGAATTCCTAAGCGATGATTCCGATCACTGTTACTAAATTCTAAGTATTAAAATGCACAGAATGCTATACGATAGACTGACCCTTTTCAACCTTCGCCGAATAATTTGTAGCGTAATAGATCTAACAAAAGCTTGAATTATTTATTATAATATGTATTAACTCAAAGCTACTAGGACGTACTATATATTCGTGTTGTGGAGTATTATGTATTCTGTAATATTTTTTTATTGCTCTAGATTTTTTTATTACAATCGTCTACAAGATGTTCCCTAGGAAACACCATCTTCCATTTGACGCTATGAAGATAATAATTTTAATTTGATTTCGTAAATCTTTATAGAAAAAATTATAATTAATAAGTTCAACGTGATATGTGCGAACTAAATTAAGCTCTTCTGGCACGCCTAAAACGGGATTTTACCAATAATAACAGTTTTTTGTATGGAGAGATAAATACAAAACCGTTCAGTACTTTTATCTCCTCTAATTGCCAACTAATATTCGTTTCTTTGTTTTGTTTTAGCGTACGTAGCTTTGTTGAGCTTTAGCGTTATCAATGAAAACGAACGAAATTGAGCGAAAACTAGTATAATAGGCATGTGGCGACTTGAAACGAAGATTTTAAAAAACAATTTTTATATATTAAACGCCACCTAGTGTAGATGGACAGTATTAGTCCAGAGATACAGACAACTGCTAGTAAATGCTACTTATCAACTTGGAATTTTGCCACCGCTAGATGCATCATTTTAACATAGATGTCGCTCTACATTTTAATTAAGAATACTAGTATAAAGTTTAAGTGGATAGAAAATAAAAATTAAATATTGAAAGTATTTCCCATCTCGTGCATCGCGGGCCAACATTGTGTCACGGGAATTTTATATATTAAGATATTACACGTATAATACATATGTAGATAGATATATGTGTAGTATTTTAAGTATAAGGTTGTATTGTATATTATGCTTACACCTGTATATGATGTTCATTCATATTTCCTAACCCAAAGGTTATCTGGAAGAAATTGTTAATTAGCGATAAGGCCGCCTTTTTACTAAGGACGTGTACATCCTTTATACTTTGTTTTTTCATCTTTATATTATTACTGTGGTATACTATGGATATATGTCGCAGGCAAATCGCATAATTTCGCGTTTTACATACGGCGTCGTCCGTTTACAAACGCTCGCTGTTATGAAATATGCCTTTGACAAATTGGCAACTCGTTCAATTGATGGCGTTGTGGTCACTGTTCTAACCTAACCAACCTAGAAAGAAAGGTTTCTGCCAAAAAATAAAAGCTGCAGTTTTTACAATTTGCCTAAGGCATTTTACAAACAGATAGCGCCGTTTGTAAAAAGACGAATCATACAATATGCCTGCGACATATATAAATAAATAAATCATATATCATTCTTCTTTAATATTTTATTGTTATGTTAGAAATGTTTCTAGATTTCTAGTTTTTTAAAGACGTCAAACCATACATAGTCGGTTTTATTTAAAGAATTTCTTCCTACTAGAAAATAAAATAAAACTATTGAAGAGATATTTTCTTATATTAAAACATAAAGATCGACCTATATAGTATTTATTTATAATATTATAATTTATAAACGCGAAGTTTGTAAGGATGAATGCATGTATGTTGGTTACGTTTTTCGCGCATAAACCACTGAAGGGATTTTGATGAAACTAAATAATTGCACTACGCGGGTGGAACCACGGGAAAACACTAGTTTATTATTATTCGAGGAGGGCTTTAAACTTATATCTCACTATCATTGCCCGCGGCTCCGCCCGCGTTCAGATAACCAAAAACCAAATTCTTAGGTTTTACATATTAGTATACTCTTACATTGCAGTTTTTGTATTTTTTCTCAGAAATGAGATATTTTCCCGCAGTAAAAAGTATCCTATATGTTGACCCGGATAACCAGCTACCATCATACCAAATTTCATCAAAATCCCTCCAGTGGTTTTTCCGTGGTGTGGTAACAGACAGACAGACAAAAATTCTAAAAACTATCGATTCGGCCTCTGTATCGATTATAATATCTATTGCAATAAGATTTTCCAAAAAATATTTAATGTACAGATTCGGCTTAGTTCTAATTTTAGTATATGTATAGATTGATAACAATGCCAATTACGTGCACAATATACAATTCAGTTGCCATTACGGCTGGTAAAACAAAGGGAATAAATGCATTTAATTTTCATATAAAATGCTTTAGCCAATTAAGCATTTTCAATGAATTAATGGGTAAAAATAGACACAATTCGGTCTGACTTCTGTTATAAATTATTAATTCAAGTGTATATAAAAAAATAAAAATTTTTTTTTTCAGCCTACATACCAAAATACAACAACAGTACATGAAAAGATAACACCAGCAAAATACGCAAGCTATGGTCATTCCCCTGCCTACGTAAGCCAGTCGCCTGGATACACTGCTCAGTCTCCTGGCTACACGAGTCAGTCCTCTGGCTATGGAAGGACAACTGGCCGCGGAAACTTATCCGAATTAGACACTCTATTAGATGACCTTAGTAACGCAAGATACGGAAATTATGCGGAGAAGACGACGTATACTGAAAGAAATGGTAAGTTTTTATGTAGTCTGTTTTTATAATTTAATACATATTATATATATATATATATATATATATATATATACTAGCATTGCCCGCGGCTCCTCCCGCGTTCAGATGACTAAAAACCAAATTCTTAGGTTTTATATATTACTATATTCTTACATTACAGTTTTTGTATTTTTTCTCCGAAATGAGATATTTTTCCGCTGTAAAAAGTACCCTATATGTTGACCCGGATGATCAGCTATGACCATACCAAATTTCATCAAAATCAAATCCATCCAGTAGTTTTTCTGTGATGCGGTAACAGACAGACAGACAAAAATTCTAAAATATAGATTCGACCTCTGTATCGATAATAATGCCTATTTCAAAAAGTTTAAAAAAAAATATTTAATGTACAGATTTGACTCAGAATTTTATTATAATAATGTATAGATTTTTCATCTCTCATACGTATTTCTTTTTAGTTTAAAATTACTAAACAATAAACATGTCTCCCACAATATGTACTATACAAACGAGAAGATAGCGGTATACTCGAAATGTATTTTATGGAAAATAGATTTTATTGTATTAATTTTGTAAATTCAGACTGCTTAATGTACAATAAAAAATGCCTCCCCAAATCCGTCTAACCGCCACCAAAATACAGAATACTGTTAAAAACTAGATATAATTAACTAGGATATATATATTGTCTGTCTGGATTCATACATCACTGAACTACTTGTTTCTATTAAAATGCTTTTGTAATTAAAAATGTATTAGATAGTAACTAAACATTTTAATGACACTCGGTCATGTTATGTTTCTATGAGCCCTTTTATGAATTATTGCGTGAATTTCTTATAAGTACCCATTACCCACGAGTGGATCAGCGAAAAAGTTATATGCCATATTATTTTGTAAATGTTAAATGTTTCTACAGTTACTTGTCTGGTTTCTATATATATAGGTATGTATGTCTGGTTTCTATATGTATAGGTATGTATGTAGGTAGGTACGTATGTATGTACATTCAAAAATTAACAGCAATTTAAATTTCATTTTATACAATACTAGCACAACCTGCGGCTTGAAAAAGAACAAAAAGAACTAAAAAGATAGGTTTCATATAAACCCTCCATTAATTTTCATCCCCTATTTTACAACCTTATGGGATGAATTTCGAAAAATGCTAAAACACGTATTTATTTAATTGTATTGAAGAGCCAAGTTTGAAGTAATCCTGATCATAAATAATTTTTTGGGTTGTATTGTAACGTGTTTTCCAATGGGAATGAGGTAATCTCCCGCGATAAATGTAGCCTATGTTACTCTCCAGCCCCCCAACTATCTCCACACAAAAATCACGCCAATCCGTCATTATGTTTCGACATGAAGGAAGGACAAACAAACACACTTTCACATTTATAATATTAGTATGGATTAGTAATACCGTAAATAGAATTGTGTCTCAAGTTGTTTTGGGAAATCCTGTCAAAATAACGAGTTATGCCTACATTGACAATACATAGTAGATACGTATTGCAATTTAATTGCCTTTAAAATGTCCTAATTCATAACTAAATACGCATAAACTGTCTGCTCACTTACAATTGTATGTCTCATGACCGTCTACACTCTACTCTAAATCAAAATTAAATCTAACTAAAATTTATATTAATAATTGACGTTAGATGTAATAAATAACTCAATTATAACATCATACCTGCTCCATTAAGCATATAAAAGCAGTTTATAACGATGTAATTCAGGTCGTAATCTCATTAATTGGTACTCTGTCAATAATAAGTATTGATGTGACAGCTGAGTAAAATTACAAAAGTATATATATATATATATTTTGACTGAATAAATAATAATAATAATAGAATAATCCCTACATATTGTAAAAAAATGCATACAAACGAACTTAGAACATCCTCTTTTTTTGGAAGTCGATTAAATAAATTCCACCCCAGCGCTGACTTTGACCATATTCATGGGCTTGTCATAGAAAATACTATACGATATCATGCGATTTTTACAAAAAGGAAATGGGATTTTCTGGTTCTTATAAATTAAAACAACGAAAATTATGTACCAGTATAATGATATCACTATTTGTAACGCGTTCTATTTTAGCTATTTACATACATTTGGAAGGAAATGACGACCTTGCCAGAGACATCTTGCTGAGGATGTCCTAGAAAATTATGATGTAATAATAAATCTAACCGTAAATATTTACTGTGCAAATATACCTATATTCAATATTGTATATAGCATAGTGTTGTTTCATAAATGTGTTATTATATGTCTATATAGTATGGGTATATATTATATTGTTATTTATATATAACAAGCGACATATGGGACTTATCCTCGCTTCACTCAGGTGCGTCCCTAGGTCCCCCCCAACGTGCGTTCACCTTGTCGTGGTGGGGGGGCTCAGTAGTGCCTGGCAACCCAACCGGGCGCGAAGCCAAGAAACGCACAGGGAGGTGGCCCACTTCGGTGGGCGGTGGGAGGTGGCCCTCTTCGGAGGGCAGTGTACCATGCGGGTTGCTCCTGGTACTTCTCTGATAGCAGAGTGGACTGTGGAGCAACCCCGTGGTTGTTGTGGTCTGCTTCGGCAGACCTGCCGTCGGGGCGTCGTAGTTGAATGCGTAAGCGATCCTGCGACGCCCCAATAAGACGGGGGAAGGTTTTGTTGGGTTTTAGTGGGTAGTACTGGCTTTGCCGGTGAGTCCCACACTTCGTGCGTAAATGCATTTCCCAACGTTAAAAAAAAAAAAAAAAAAAAAAAAAAGGTGCGTCCCTAGGTACGTATTAATTTTTTTGAGCGGAAACCTAATTATTTTTCTAAAACAAAAGTGGCCTATTATTATTATTATGTTGGGTGTGGTGCCGAGGTCGGCCCTAGCTACGTCGACCAGTTTTGGTCCATTGTAGCTCAAAAAGTGGCCTAAGTGTAACTCATTATAACATCAACTATCTCCTAGTGAAAGTCCTGTCAAAATCGGTCCAGCCGTTTCGGAGATTATCCGGAACAAACAAACAGACAGACCAAAATTTAAAAAATAGTACCGCATGTAATTCCATATGCATTTAGTAAAAAGCTGTTATTTTGACATTACAAACAGACACTTCAATTTTATTTAGCTGTACATATATCGGTCACGACGAACTATCTAACTGAGACTAGCCAACGACTGAGACTGGCATAAGACATATTAAAGTTCATAATTGTGCGCAAACGCAAGTGCACCCTGTATTGCTTTCTCTTTTAATGTCTGGCGGGACGACAGTTCGACGCGACCGACGAAAGACCACCAATTTCCCAACTCCCAACTATTGGGAATTCCTTTCTCAGAAAAACTCATGAAGTAATTGGCCAGACCCAGGACTCGAACTGAGGAGTTCTTCAAACTAACGGCAGTATATTATATAACGAACGCCAGTTGTGGCACGAAAATCTCTACTTGATTGAATTTAATGTTTCTTATTAGACTCTTCTGATAATTTTGGCATTTCACGTAACGCACTTGGTACAAGTGCCTCATCCAATATTACGAAAGTTTTCAGAAAAGATGATCTTTCCGACCCTTATAATGCCATCCCATGGATGCTGTAAAGCATTCGAAACGTCGGGAACCAAAAATCAAAATAAATTCGCGAAAAAATCCGAAAAGATAGTTTTATTTAAAATGTCAAGTATGCGCGTAAATCTAAGAAAGAATAATGTATATTTCAATTAGATTTTCCAAAAAATATTTAATGTACAGATTCGACTTAGTTACAATTTTATTATATGTATAGATGGAATATTATTTAGGTTAAAAAATGTACATTGACTAATAATCAGTATTATTTATGCAATGTTGTATTTTTTACCTATTTGTTAAGACTTTGTTATATACGAGTATTTTTAAAAGTGTTTTAGAACCAACAAATAGAAAATAAAAATCTGTATAAATAATTTCTTCGCTTCGTTTCAAGAATTGAAAGTCGCGCGTCCCTCCCGGTTTTACTCGGCAATAAGACCTTATTTACAAAACATCAATATAGTAATTTTCTAAATTGGGTTCTTATTAGCGTTTCTTATAGGGTTTGAAAAGTTCCGACATTTGTAATAATAAATTTTTAGAAATTATTTTTTTTAATTATGTTCTTTATATTCTTTAAAATAAATTATTTTTATTGAAAATGCATATCTATACTAATATTATAAAGAGGCAGAATTTGTTTGTTCGTTTGAAACTACACTGACATTTAATTTTCATTTAAAATATAAATGTGACGATTCAAAAGAGCTTGTAAAAGTCTATTTGAATAAAATATACTTTGTTTTGATTTGATCTTTTCTATACTAACCGTTAAAATATTTTTTTGGTCGGGATGCGTATTACATATTTTCCAGCGTACGTCTTGATCTTTACCACCCAACTGCTATAAAATATTACATGCGGCCAATTTAACAACCTTGCTACTTTTCCTCTCTATAAAAATAGCGTTTACAACTCACTCATATTATTATTACATACATATTTTTGTAAATATTTAATATGTTAATATATAATATAAAACTGAAAAGCACGAACAGATCGATTCCACGGAAACCGTTCATTTTCCCGGGACAAAAGTAACCTGTTGTTTGACCGGCAATATAAGGAAGGTATCAGCATGCCAAATTTTACTAAATTAAATGCATAAATTGTTGTTTTAAGCTGTATAAGTTACTATAGTTTTTTAACTATCCCACTCTTTAATTTTCCGAGATGAAAAGTATCTAATATGTTGACCGGGTATATAAGGTACCACCATGCAAAATTTCATTTAAATCGTCCTAACAGTTTCGGAGATTAGCCTGTACAAACATTGAACAAACAGACAGAGAAACAAAAAAATTGAAAAAAAAACTGGATTTGTTCTGTTTCTCTTCTTACATCCTCCTGACTCGGTTTTTAGCAAAAAATTTTCTATGTACAAACATTCAACCTCTACAGTTTTATTCTATGTATAGATCTATATAAATTGCTCTTTTTAGTAAATTATTTCCATTGTTATTTGGCAGAAGCAAAATATAGTACAGTACATGTTGTTAGCTTACAAATTCATGGACGTATTTTTGCTTTGAAGTGCTATAATTGCCACTTAATAAACTCTTTGACGTTGGCTAAAATAATTTAAACGGTGTTTAGACTACAAAATGCTTTGAAAGTCATAGACTTTGGCTTGCACAAAATTGTTTTGCTTTTTCTTTCGTTTGCAAAAAATCATCAAACACGGACAGATCAGATAGTAAGCATTTCTATCCATTCAATACACATTCTCGACACTATAACAATGCAACGAACTATTCACGATGCATTTTACAAGGAAAGGAATTGCGTGATATTACTTTTACCAAAAAATCGCGCATACTACAAATTTATTTTTGTTTCGAAATTATTCAAGTTTAGGTACCCATATGTGAAAATTCTAAAGGAATTCAAATTTAAAAATAGTTTTTGGCCACTAATTGGATAATATTAAATTAATTATATAAAAGCGCATTTTATAAACTTTAATTATTAAAACATTAATATGTAGTTAGTTACTTAAACTAAAAGAAATATTCCATTTTATGATATTTTGAGGCAAATACACAGTGGCCCACTAATCTTATAATATAAACGCTTTAACGACATCTGGCACGGATATGACAGCAATATTTCGATATTTGACATTGAGATCGTGTACAGCTCTCATCAAATTCATTACGAAAATTCAGGCTTAAAATTATACTTTTTTACCCAATTCATTATGGCAACTCCGTCTTTTTAACTTTTATTATGTATCAAATATTTTGACAACCTTAGCATTCCATTTTCAACATAATATTTTTGAGAATTACGAGAAAGTATTTTACGTATTTTAGCAAAGAACAGAATAAAATTAAGAAATATTTTTGCTGTCGGTAGCCAACAAAATTTTACAGAGTCCTATTCTAACGTTTCGTATAGAAATAGTACACTTTTTCTGATCAATCTCCGTCGTGTCTGCTGTTTTTTGAAATCAGTCTTCCAACTAAAAAAAATCTAACCTCATGTAGAATTTCTTAATAGGGTTGGACGTCTTTGATTATAACTCTGGTGACATAAATAACAATGACGCAAAATCCAAACATTAATTAGATATAGACTGCAGTTTTATAAGCAATTTCTATTTATAACGTACGCCTGCCTGATTAGCCGCCACATCGTAACTGACATCACCGCTAAATTACTTATTCGATACGCTCGTTATTTTGTCACTAGTGCTATATTTTGATCTTGTTTCTAATGGCATATTCATAGATATTATAAAGGTATTAGTAAGGAATTAAAACTATGCACGATAATAGTAATCAATAGAAAAATCGTAGATAACTATGTATCTAAAAATCAAAGTGTATAAGCTACTTTAATATCGACTGTGAAGTGTGAACTCTTATATGAGTGACGAAATCTATACTAATAAATGGAGAGTCGATTTTTTTAATCGGTTATACTGGAATAACTACTGAACCGATCGGAATAATACTCATACCATAAGATGCAACGTGTTTCGGAGAAGCTTTCAGTATATGATGTGTATTGTATTCAGCCCTTCTTAACGTCCCACTGCTGGGCACGGGCCTCCCTTCAATAAGAGGGGGATCAGGCCATAGTCCACCACGCTGGCCAAGTGCGGGTTGGCAGACTACACATGTCTTTCGAAAACTTGCTAGGTTCTCTCAGACATGCAGGTTTCCTCACGATGTTTTCCTTCACCGTAAGGCAAGTGGTAATCATGTTGAAAATGATTCGCACATGAAAATATCAGAAGTGCGAGACCCGGGACTTGAACCCGCTTCACTCGGTTACCCATGCGAGCGCGTCACCACTGGGCTACCACTGCCTTCCTTATATATGATGTGTTGGTGATTAATGTACTAATCGGGCGGAGCCGCAGGAAAACGCTAGTGTTTAATATATTTGAACCAACGATTTATCTTCACTTTGCACGGGTTCGTCCCTAGGTACGTTATAACGGTTAGTATAGAATAGACTATATACATATATGAACAAACATAGGTATGGAAAAGTAGGTAAGGTTCAGTGGTTTAGGCGTAAAAACATAACAGACAGACAGTTACTTTCGCATTTAAAATAATAGTATGGATTAAAATTTTATACCCACCAAATCGTACTCTACTTTGACACGTAAAGCAAAGATGAAGCGACTGTTTGTAATTTACGAGAATTGTTTGATCATTAGCAACATGTAACAGTTGTGCTTGAAGCCAACGTCGTACTAAATTTATTATGTATCTGATAGACACAATTACCTACTTTAAACAACATAACGCTTTGCTCATTTGAAACATCCTTCCTTAGTTAGTACACAGGTGCTTTAGTTCACAACAATACAAACATGTGCAAAGGAATATGTAGGTCGCAAATATGAAAGATAAAATTGTTATAAGGATTGTTTTTGTTAAAGATGTATACACGAGAACAAATGGAGCGACGAGCCCAGCTTCCACCAGGCCTACGGTGGATTCACTTCTCGATCAACTCAGCACCGATCTTCCTAATGGGTGAGTCTAACATATTGTATTCATTTTGTTCTATTTTTGATTATATCATATTAATATTTGTTTATATTTTATACTCGTAGTACTAAAGGATTTACCCAGTACGTTAGTAAAATAATTATTGTTTGCTCTAGATCGTTTCTTTCTATGCTTTGAACAAATATACAGCAAAAGTTTTTACTTTGTATCTTGACTAACGTGTCGAGTAATCTAGTCTTTTATTTAAATGTTTTAAAAATAAGCTAAATACATTTCGCATATAAAGCGCCATGACCACATTTAATAGTTAATTAACTGCTTTGAAAGCAAATAGACAACGGATGCCAAAGTTTTTGAAGGAATATCAATTAATTATATTTCATGTACTCAGTTTCTTGTACGACGAATGCGTTAAGTGTTCGTAAAAATATCTGGGTTCTTTATGAATAATTATTAATTATCACAAAATCTCGTTGCATCGTGATTATTAATTACTTTTTACTAAAGAAGGTTCATCGATTTCAAAATATCTTAAATGTTATTATTCCTTAGAAATGTATTTTTTTAATATTTATATTGGACAACCTTTTAAGTATAATCTATTCATTAAAAAAAGTATTATAAAAATCGATTGACAATTGGCGATGAAAAAAAAATAATATATCTAAAAGAGCACCTCCACTCCAGTTTTTGGCGGACTCCAAAATGGATTTTGGAGTCCGTCAAAAATTACCTTAAGTCAGTTTAATAAAGTTGGTTTCATTCATCCAAGGATATACTTGTTAATATTCAATTATTTCTTTGACGATAAAAAACAGGTCTTAAAGAACAATTATCTATAATAACTAGCGACTCACCCTCGCTCCGCTCGGGTTTATCCCTAATGTGGGCCACCCTTATCACTTAGGGGTATGGAAAATAGATAGTAGCCGATTCTCAGACCTACTGAATACGCATATAAAATTTGGTAAAAATCGGTAAAGCCGTTTCGGAGGAGTACGATAACTAACATTGTGACATGGAAATTTTATATATTAGATGCTCCAAATAATATAGAGTCGTTGTTGTAAAAAAAATACCCTAAACATATTATTTAATATTCATCAGATAACGTACACAATAATACCCTACGTATACTTAGTACGTGTTATAAACTATAAGCACTGTATTTACATTACTTCAGAAGTTTATAAATACAATATACTTGTCTGTTTTTTAATTCTTGACCAGCGATTTACACTTGCTTCGCACTGGGGTGTCTCTAGGGCCGAACGACTTAGAAACACAGGACGCAGAACGACTCACCAAAGTTTCATCACAATCGGTTGAATGGTTTAGAAATTAGTGCATACAGTACAAACATACAATGAAAATTTCATTTTTATATAAATTACATACATATGGCAAAAATATCTACAGAGTTTACGCTATAACATTTGATCAAAGTATAGTTAGAAAGTGAAATTAATTTAACTCTCTATTCTGTTGTACTATGAACCCACGACTAGCTCTTTAAGTTTCAATATTATGGGCAATAGATATTTGGCGCGTGCACAGAGCCGTGTGGAAACGTATTTTCGTGGCGAGTCCGCAAATAGCAGGCTACGTCACGCACAATGTAACAATCGCCAGACGATGGTCATTCGTTTTCAAGAACTAGGATATATGAAGGTCTACAAGTAATTTACACTACTCGTAGATTTGTCAAGGTTTTCTTTTATTATATATTCATGGAAAAATTAAAGGAAATCGATAAAATATAAATAATAAGCAAAAATAAAACTAAATGTTTTATTTTTGCTTATTATTTATAAAGTAGTAAAATTGAAAACTTTGATTATTTTTATTTCTCTTCAATAAAATAGCGCATTTTTCTACTTATAATCTTGCAAATAAACAGTACGTGTATGAAAATTATTATTCAAATACATAGGCAATATAATACATATAATTTGATATTTTTAAATGCTTTTAAAAATATGAAATAAGATGTCAGCATTCAGCAACAGTCATTCAGGTTTTCTTCTTCAAGTTTTTAAGTTTATGGATTCTATTAAATTGTATTTATTAATTTTTATATTTGGAGGGCCTCAAATATTACTTGGCACAGACAGTGATTTATGATTTCCGCTTGCTTGAACTAAAGTCGATAAGTAATGAAATTGTTGGCTATTACTATGCTAAATCTGCACGTATTCAAAGTTCAATGACTTTTTCTCCTTAATACTATTAATCTATAGATATTTTAAAATTATTTTTTGTATAGGTACTATTTCTCGTCTTCTATTTATTCTAAATTCTTAGTATTTTTTAATTGATAAAAAAACCCACGTCTTCTATGTGCAATAAAATTTTATTTCTGAGATTATTCACGAAATGTAACAAGAGTTATTTTTATTAGTATTCACAATACATTAATGTGTAGGTTTTGCATGAAATCTCTATACTGCAATGTGTAAAGTAAAGACTGATAACAACTATTTATATACATAAATAAATTAGATTTTCTCGTCACAATCAAGTATGTCTGACCATGAAAGTTAATTTTATAATAGTATATTACATTTAATTGTTACTTTATAATAATCGATCTTGGCACCATCGACTCCTGCGCACGTCTCTACATAATTAGTATTTATACCCCATACACCTGGCTCTACATTTCCAAAAGATTTATTGTTCATACATATTATTAAAACAAACCCGTTTTGTTAGATTTATGAATTGTGCCAGGATGGACAAGTTACTACCGATATTATTTGTAGATGAATAAATCAAATCTGGGAGTGTCTGCTGTCCAAAAGATTCGGTGTGGTGTCATGCCAAATTGCCAAAACGCGTACGCAATTTTGGCTAGTTTCTATAAAGTTCCCAATACGTGATTTATATAGAAATTACATATGAAAACACTAATCTGTTGATAATTTAAACCAATTCTTGCATATTATATAGTAGTAAGTAGAACCACTGTTTCAAAAAAAATAATAATGCGTGTAACTTTTTGAAGTAAAACATCTTTCGCACTGTAGCAAATACCGCAATTAAATTAAAACATAAGTAATAAATAAATAAATAAATAAATAAATAAATAAATAAAAAACAAACAAACAAACAAACAAACAAACAAACAAATAAATAAATATGTCAGGACATTAACACACAACACCATCTAGTTCCATGGTAAGCTACGAGGCTTGTGTTATGGATACCAGATAGTTGATACATTATACATATCTAACTTTAAATATATACATTATAAATATAAACACCCATGACTGGAGTACAAACATTCATGCTCATCACACAAATGAAGGCCCCCAGCGGGATTCGAACCCGCGACTGCTGGCGCAGCAAGTAGGGCCACTACAAACTGAGCCAAACGTGTCGTCAAATATATTTTTTATAAAATTATTATTAATAAATATTTATTCATTTAAACAATAATTATTATAAAACTATTATTAATACATTTGAGTCTCACTTCCGCGACACACTTCTGTGACACTCATTTTTCCAAAGTATCTACTTACCCCTGTCACGCCTAAACAAGTTTTACTTCACAAATCATTTTCTAATAGTTTTGTATCGTCTTTTAAGAACTAAGAAGTGCCATTGCATATACAAACTACAATTTATAATTTCATTTCGATAGTAAAATCCGTTTCAAGATTATTCTGTAATATTTTTGAAGTATTGTATCATTTTTGCTTTAATTTCTCGTCTGGTTTAAATTATATCTCATTAGCAATTTTAAAAAGGCAACTGTTGAGTATCCTTCTCAAGAACGGACATACACATTCCTTACAAACTAAATTGTATTAAATTATATCTTGAATTCAATTCGTTAAAAGCTAACTGTGAATAGTTTTTGAGTTATTAAGAAAAATAATAGAGTTCGTGTACCAAGAGTGATTTTATCAAAAAAAAATCACGCCTGTGTGTATTTATTATATTACCTATTCTTGGCTACTCGCATTACTAAAATAAATATACATAACTACTAACAAAATGTTATATTACCATAACATTTTAGTACTGTGAGGCCACAACTCTCGTAAAGAAATATAATAATAACTTATAGTGTAACTCTCTCTATCTATACATATAATAAAATTGTAACTAAGTCGAATCTGTACATTAAAATTTTTTTGGAAAATCTTATTGAAATAGATATTATTATCAATACAGAGTCCGAATCTATAGTTTTTAGAATTTTTGTCTGTCTGTCTGTCTGTTACCGCACCACGAGAAAATCACTGGACAGATTTTGATGAAATTTGGTATGATGATAGCTGGTTATTCGGGTCAACATATAAGATACTTTTTAGCGCGGGAAAATATCTCATTTCTGAGAAAAAATACAAAAACTGCATTGTAAGAGCATTCTAATATAGAATTTGGTTTTAAGTCACCTGAACGCGGGCGGAGCCGCGGGCAGTGCTAGTATTATATATAACTTATTATAATGATAACGTATCATTATAGTAAGAGTAATTTTAATTTTAACATTTTAAATTGCCTCAAATAGTTACTTAGTTTAGTTTTTAAGACTTGAAGTTAAATCCGCTAACCCGTACTTGGTTAGTCTGATCTATAACCTGATCCCCCTCGCTTTGTGAGGCACTCGCATGCCCAACAGTGGGACGTTGAATAGGGCTGAATAAGTTATGGGATATGGGATAGATTATTTTCTAATATTAAAATCCATGTCTATTTATCAGTCGTGCGTCGGTATCGCCGGTGCCGCCCTCGGGAACGCTACCACGCCCTGGCACTAAGCAGGTGACGGTGACGGTGCAAGAGACGGTAGTGGAGCCCGCCCAGCCTCCGCCCCCTGTACCAGCAGTCACCACCGTCAAACACCACCATGCGTCCAGCGCGACCAAAGAACTGGACGATCTTATGGCTTCTCTATCAGATTTTAAGGTAAGTGAATTTACATAGATTTGTATGTACGAGTATAAAAGAGAAATGGCCACTGCTCACTGATTATTAAATAAAATACTCAGAAAGTATAAATGCTACAATCTTGAATTTTTGGCAGATTCCTCTAAAGAAAATAATTTGGTGTGACTATGGTAATATAATCATTAAAAGGATAAAAAAGGGGTTGGATGTTTATATGAAAATCTATTATGCATATGCTATTTATGATATATTAAAAAACCAGAAGCCATACTTGTTTAGTATACTTTTATTATAGTCCATCGTGCCGCTCTAACTCCGCCCAACTGTATAGAGTGACACGAGTGTCGAGTACCCCTAAATTATTTACCAGTCATAACTATTAAATACAGACTAATAAATCATAAAATATACATAATATATTAGTACGACTGGCGACTCACATAATATCGTACACAAATTATTTATTATTATTGATTTACGGGCAAATCACACTATGTCAGTAAACTTCATAGACCCAACGACCGCATATTGTACAAACAAATAGAAAAACTTACATTTACGTTTATATAAGACCCAGCTTGATACCCCATACAAACTTTCATCTCCATTTTCACCCTCTTAGGGGATCATTTCCGGGATAAAAAGTATCTTATGTCCTTCCCAGGGTTTCAAACTATCTTCTTCCCAAAGTTCATCTAAATCGGTTAAATAGATCCAGAGATTACCCCCTACAAAGTCACAAGCTCACAAACTTTACCTCTTTATAATATAGATTCATCCATGTATATATACGGAGATGATTGTGTTTCATCAATAATAATCACTTAAAATAATGTCGCCTTAGGTATATGTATACATGTAATAAAATTCTAATTGAGTCGAATTTGTACATTAAATATTTTTTTGGAAAATCCTATTAATATAGTAATTATTATCGATACAGAGGCCATATTCTACAATTTTTTAAATTTTTGTCTGTTTGTCTATCTATCTGTCTGTGACTGCCTCACGAGAAAACCACTGGACAGATTTTGATGAAATTCGGTATGATGGTTATCCGGGTCAACATATAGGATACTTTTTATTGTGGGAAAATATCTCATCTCTGAGAAATCTATAAAACTAAACGTTAAAACGTAAATGTCTCTAGTATTTTATAATACTGTACGTAATTAATGTAGATTATTATATAAATATCTAGTTTGAAGATATTAGATTTTTTTAAATCCGTTCGTATAAAAAAAATGTTACATATAGATTCCTCTCAACGATATTTGAAATGGGATAAAAGCCAATAGTAGCTTAACGACTTTTTTGCGCACGCGTTTCGTAAATATATATACCTAACTACACATCAATAAATATATCTTTGCAATATAACTGACGGTTTACATAAATTATAGACAAATTAAATTTTCACATATTGTCATAATTATTTTAACAATATACTTGTGTTTTGAAAACAGGGAATAAAGTTCTTCTAATAAATAATAAATAAATATGTTGGGACATTAACACACAGCACCATCTAGTTCCATGATGAGCTACGAGGGTTGTGTTACGGATACCAGATATGTAGTTGATACACTACACATATGTATATAACTTTAAATATGTACGTACATATTATTAATATAAACTCCCATGACTGGAGTACAAAAATTCCTGTTCATCACACAAATGAATACCCCCAGCGGGACTCGAACTCGCGACCGTTAGCACAGTGAGGTGGGTCACTACAAACTGAGCCAAACATGGCGCCAAATAATAGTTTACTATTGTTAAAATAAGGATAATTAGGGTTATATCTCAGAGCAAAGAGTTATAACGACAGAGTCCGCCAAAATAAATGTCAAAGTGAAAAATAATATGATCAGATCGCTTACTTTCTGTAAAGAATATGTAAAATTTTGTATGTGTACTAGTTAAATCCATACTTCCATACTTTATATTATAAATATGAAAGTGGGTTTGTTTGTTTGTTCGTCCTTCTTTCATGTCAAAACAGAGTGACGGATTGGCATGATTTTTTTGTGTAGAGATAGTTGGAGGGCTGGAGAATGACATAGCCTAATTTACCGCCGAAGATTATCTCATTCCCACGGGTAAACATGTTATAATACAAGCCAAAAAATTATTTATGATCAGCATTACTTGAAACTTGTTATTAATACTCTTCAATACAATTAAATAAGTACGTGTTTTAGCATTTTATAAAATCATCCCATAAGGAGGTAAAATAGGGCATGAAAGTTTGTATGACCTCTACTTTTTAAGAGTTTTTTTTTTGTAATTTTAGTGCGAGCGAAGCCGCGAGTTCTGTTGGTTAATATATAATTATTGAGAATCTTACTCCTATATACTTAAATGCTAAAGTTTGGATGGATAGATGTTTGTTACGCTAGAACGGCTGAACGGATCGGGATAAAATTTGGCACAAAGATAGAATGGATGGATGGAATTGCACATAGGGTACTTTTTATCCCGCAAAACTGTACTATGTGTATTTTTCACTAGGGATGAACACGAGCGAAGCGAGGGTGAGACGCTAGTAAAATATAAATAATAAAAATCATACTAATATATATTTTTTTCTTTATTATAATAAAATACGTTAGCTATTTTTATTAACATTTATTTACTTATCACTTAGCATACAAATTGTTATTTGTTTATTATTATAAAACATTATTGTTTGGCTTCATGTTTAGTTCTATGACGCTCTGTATATATTATTCCTTAGTCTGAGACGTATACACATTAATTTAATTAGTGTAAAATATTTTTTGTTCTTGATTTATAAATAAAAGTTAAAAAGTTATATAGCCACTTTCAATCAATATTAATTGGCTCATTTCCAAAAAGCATTTACTTTAAATTACTTTTATAAAAATTATTTCCACGAGAACACTCTCAAAAATCATTTATTTTATATTTGGCATTTACTCGTATTTATTTTTGTATGAAGATGGACGCTGTCTATCAAAAACATAAAAGCAGGAAACCTCAGGATTGCAATCTATGCGTAGCAGTTGTGTTTATCTTAAAATCGTAACTCTTTTCATGCATGTTGATTGTTGATAGAGGCCTGTTCACTGTTAAGTATTAGAATTTGACAGACAAATGATAATTACTATGTTTGGAAATATTTTAATTTAATTAACCAGTAAAAGAAATATACAATAAGGGAACATATCATATATGTATATATTTTTATGTATATCTTAACAATACGTCAGTTCAAACATACATTTTATTTATACATTTTTTGAGTCGTTAAGTCTACTTGGCTTATTTCAAATAGTGCTACACATTCAATGTGTATACTCGTACATATCATACACTAGTTCTAATAATGTTGCGTGCAATTATTAGAAATTGTAGAGTTTTGAGGACAGTGCCAGCTGCCAGCACGACACTTGACCTGATATCAAGTGCACAGCAGTTTAAAATAATATAAATTACTCTCGATATCTTTTAACCTAGATTTCATTCATATAATTAGATAAGAAGGGATATAGGTACAATCAATTGGTGGCGTATTTTCATAAACAATATAGCATGAGTCATCCTAGTAAGGTCTAATATAGGGCGGCAGCTGTCATGGCCACCTCGGCACACTGCACTACACTTTTCCGATTATTATAATATTTACTACTCGCCTTTCTTGGTCCACGGCTATTTCCAGCCGTGCGAACAGTCGTCTCTCCAGCGCTATGTCCGTCTCGCTCGTACCCGTTGAAAAGCTCGCATCTAAAGATAGTCCCGGTGTTACATCACAGGCGTAGTGGGGCCGCGAGCTTATAATATTAGAAGTACATAGACACAGATTTCACTCCGCATTCACTCCAGTCCGCTCCGTCCGATCGGTTACTTACTGTACGTTGCCAAGATACGTAAACCTCGACTTAGATGATATCTTAAGTCGATGTTTCGGAGATTAATGAATTTCTTTCCTGCTTAAATTTTTGAAACGGCGAAGAAATGGATTAATTTCTTTATGTCTGTTAGGTAACCGGAGCAGCTGCAGTACCAGCTGAGAGCGGAACCCACGTGTATCGGGAGAAGCACGCCTGGCAGGAGCAGTACCGCACCAACCCGCGGCAACCCGAATCCGCTTCTCTGGAGCATATGCTCGGTTCCCTCCGAGCAGACATGAGCCGCCAAGGAGTTCAAACACCCCAGAAGGGATGCTGCAACGCGTGCGAGAAACCCATCGTTGGACAGGTGGATATACTTACTACGACTGAAGACCAGTGTTTTTATCAGTGAATATATGAAATTTGTTTGCTGCAGGTCATCACCGCGCTGGGCCGCACGTGGCACCCTGAGCACTTCACATGTGCCCACTGCAACCAAGAACTTGGAACGAGGAACTTCTTTGAACGTGATGGAAGGCCATACTGCGAACCCGACTACCACAACTTGTTCTCACCAAGATGCGCCTACTGCAATGGACCCATTCTCGATGTTAGTGTTGTTACCGATCTAAATAAACAATTAGATCAACAAATTGTGTAATTTTGATTCTATTTTACAGAAATGCGTCACGGCATTAGAGAAGACTTGGCATACGGAGCACTTCTTCTGCGCGCAATGCGGCCAACAGTTTGGGGAAGAAGGGTTCCATGAAAGGGATGGCAAGCCCTACTGTCGGGCTGACTACTTCGACATGTTCGCGCCCAAGTGCGGCGGATGCAACAAACCCATCATGGAGAACTACATTTCCGCTCTAAACACACAATGGCATCCAGACTGCTTCGTATGCAAGGTCAGTATTTCTTTACATAGCTCTAGCAACCCCGAGATAGGCGAAATGACAGGTGGGTAAAGAACGTAACACTAACTAACCTTTAACGCCAGGTCAAGTATGGATCTAAAGATATAGAAATATCTAGCGTTCACACAGCAAATGACTTTTGAGAAGTAAAAATAATTAAATCGTGTTTTGCTCTCACAGGATTGTCAAAATCCCGTCAAGGGTAAAACATTCTATGCCATGGAAGGAAAACCGGTATGCCCAAAATGCGTCGGAGTTGATGAGGACGAGTAAATAAAACATGAAATGCCCCCCCACGGATGCCCCCCCCCCATTTCTTTTTCAGCTATGCCAACAACATGATGTGCAAACGAATAATAAAATGACACAAAACACAGATGCTACTCAACAAATACTCTAGTCTTAGCATATTCGTTAGGGAATATTAAATTATGTAATATATTTTTATAATATTGTAATGTTAAGGTTTATAATAAAGAGAACAAAAATAAAATTAAAAAAAAATAATTAAAAAAAAAATTACAAAACAAAAACAATAACAATATGAAAATGAATGAGCCGAGCGTCCCTGTAGCGGCCGTCAAGGTCACATGCGTACGCGCGGCAATGACCTTTTGTCAACGCATTATAGTGAAGGCCGTTGTCAAAAATCGCCAAAAAATCGATATCGGGGTCAAGTGCTAGTGTAGGGTTTCCCGGCGGAGATAAAAATAAGTTAGTGAGTGACGTCACGCGCCACTCCGGCTAATGCGGAGCAGCTGGTTTGTTTAAGAGACACCCGATGACACTATTTTTGATTCGATGCAATCTGTTGATGCACTGTAGTCAAGCGATCTAATATCGATTTACATATATACATAAATATCGATCTTTTAGCTATTTAAAATTTAATTTGATCCCAATTAAATAATAGACTGTAAAGTGACAACTAATGATTACATTTAAATTTTAAACGTACATACCTATTATATACTCGATAGTTATAATAATAACTTATGACGTATTAGTATTATTGAAGTTTTTGTTTGAAATCAAATTAAGCTAATATAATGTACGTATTTTTAAATTAATTTCAAAATTACTTGGCATTTAAAATTACAAACATATTTATACAAAATTATGTAGGTACTATGTCTAAATAAAAAAAATATAAAAGGTCAATTTAGTTTCAATAAAAATTGAAAATAAGGCTAGACTTTTTTTTTAATATAAATTGATAAAAGACCTACAAACTAAAGAATGCCAAAAAATTGGAAAACTAAAATCATGCGGTTTTAAAAGCAAGTTTTATTTGGTTGAAGTTCAAAAATTACATTGATACAATTTATTTTTATAGTTTTATATAGAATATAAGAACATGGGTGATATTTAAGAAGAATAATTGTTTTTGATTTATTACAAGCGAAACCGTTGCTCAGGGTCTAATTACACTTGAGCGTCTTAAGAAAACCTCGATTTTTTTTTTCTCAAACTCAACTCGTGAATGTAAAATTGAATAACAATAATGTATATACATACATTATCAGATAATGAGGCATTATTGTAGGTCGATTAACAGATAATGAGGCATTATTTTATGACATACTAGCGGCTCACCCTTGCTTCGCTCGGGTTCACCTCTAAGAAGGAGAACATAAACAAACCTATCCCACGGGAACTGTACATTTTTTCGGGATAAAAAGTAGCCTATGTGTTATTTCAGACTATAATCTATCTATGTGCCAAATTTCATCCAGATCCGATGACATATGAGGATAGTATATATACAAATGGTGATATATGGAGGATAAGGAAAGAAACTTATAAGGATCAAATTAGCAATCATCGTCAGTTGTCATGTAATGAATAAATGTAACTCACATAACTATATACTTATGTTAAGTTTATAAATGGCTTACCGAATTCTCCTTTATGCCATTCGTGTACCGTGTTGTGAGCCAAATGTGCAAATCTGATCTCATATCACGATTGACATGGAAGCTATCGTAAATTGTTTCTACAAAAATAGACGCTTGTTAAAAAATATACTTGTTAAATAAAAACCCGTCGAGTGGACCCGTGCCAATGACGTGTTAAGAAAGTAAATCAAGTGGAGTCATTTGAAAATCTTGTTTTTTAACATTTGCAAAATTAAATCATTATGTATAAATTTCTTATATTTTTTATTTTTATCTAATCAAGTTTCTCTCGTGTAAACTCGTCATTTCGATCACATTGCATTCACTCATTCCGGATAAAAAATAACGTAAAATTTATAACGTTTCCGCAAAACCAATAGCGGGATACCTAAATAAACACGCGAATTTTATATAGTGTGTATAAAAAGTTTATAGTTACATAAAAAAGTAGATGAGGTTTTATTCTATAATAAAAAATGAGTGATTCAGATTTGTTACACTATACATATTAAGTTACAAGTGCTTTTTAATTCTTATGCTTACCTCAACTTTGCAGAAACTTTATTTTTAATTTCTTTTCTTTGGATCGTTTGTTTTGTTTGGTACTATAATGGCATTCGCACTACAGACGTACACTATAACCCAATATCTATATATCATGGCTATCAACGCAATGGAAGGATGCGAATTGAAATAATCCAATTTCATTCATTCCATATCCCTCTTCACCCATCCGCTAACTATATTTTGTACTAATGAGCGGAACCCTAATACTTTTTCTAAAATAAAAGTAGCCTAAATTGCTCCTTATTGCATCAGCAATCTGTCAGTGAAAGTCCTGTCAAAATCAGTCCAACTGTTTCGGGGATTAGCCGGAACAAACAGACAGACATTCAGAATTTTTTTTTATAAATTGTGTTTTTTTTATAAGTAAATATAACGTAGATAATTTATCTAATGAAGTAAGGTGAAGGTTTCTTTTTCTCTTTGACATTAATTAAAAGTACAAACTGTGAGTGAAAATACAAAAAAAAGTCTTGGTTGCTACTTGTTAGCGAAAAGTTGGATTTGAATTGAACTCGCTTTTTGAAACCGCATGATATTAGTTTTCCAATTATTTGGCATCCTTTAATTATTAATAGATAGATCTTCTATCAATTTTCTTTCTTCTATCAATTATCTTCTATCAATGGATCTTTTATCAATTTTTCCAATATTTCTTTAGCTAACCCATCTGCGATTTATTCGTTTACATAATATTATATTTAATTACAAAACTTTTTATCCAGTAAACAAATAAGTAAAGGCCTTACGTCGGATCTTAGACTAATATTAATCATATTAGTCCTATATAAACCGATGCTCAATATAAAATATTATGTTACAGGAATGCCGAGAACCTTTCCACGGCGGTTCATTCTTCGAGCACGAAGGCCAGCCGTACTGCGAGACCCACTACCACGGCAAGAGGGGCTCCCTCTGCGCCGGCTGCCACAAACCCATTGCAGGGAGATGCATCACCGCCATGTTCAGGAAGTTCCATCCAGAACACTTCGTCTGCGCCTTTTGCCTTCGACAACTGAACAAGGGAACCTTCAAGGAACAAAACGACAAACCCTACTGTCACGCGTGCTTTGACAAACTCTTCGGATAAACACGATAGATGGCGCTGTTCTTTGTTGTCTTATTTTACTCGTTTCTCGACAGAGCGCTAAAACGATTACCGTAATTTTTTATCTGTTTACCATAATTTTACGATAAACTCTTGCTTTAATCTCCATTAAGTAATTTTATTATGTGAATAATATGTATGTTTTCATATGTCCTTGGAAATTTGATATGAATTTATTTAAAATATTTAATGGCGCTATATAATTTATGATTATCTGTCTAGATATAGGTTATCGTTGTTTGTCTTTTAATGATAAATAACTGATACACCGTAATTATTGATATCGACTAATCCGACTCGCATTCAGCCACGCTTTATGATTTTATAAATATTACGAGTATATATGTATGTAAGATTGCAATGTTTTTTCATAATTTACTTACTATATGCCATTGAAATAGAATAGATTTATATATACTGCTGCAAGTTACTGAATCTATATCTACCGGTCTAATTAATGCTCACGCTATTATTTTAAAATATTTTATTATGAATATTTGATAAATGTGTCATTATTTAAAAAAATGCATTACTACTCGTATGTCCAAAAGCAATTGAAATTATATAAAGAAAGGTACTGAGATCGATACATTAAAAATATTTATAAGGTCTCAATATATAGTGTGTAAGTCTGTCTACGGTAGATTAGTTATTAACATGTGATGAAATAAAAGGTGTTCGTGAGGTTACTACTTTATAATTATTATAAATAAATAATTAAATAAAAATAATAATAAATTCTCGGAAATACATTGTGATGTGCTATTTGGTCTAAAATGTCATAGACGTTCGTTTAGAAAGAAATTCGAAATTATAAAAAATCTAGCAGATAATGCCATATTGTATATGTATTTTAAGATTATTATGCAACAGCAAATTATTTATATTATATATTAAAAAAGTATTTAACTTTAATATAAAGTTTTCCCGCAAATTATATTTAAGTCGGGAAATTATTAAAAAAGTTATGTCGCCATTTCTAAAATAAAAAAAAAAGCTAGATTATAAAATTTAAAAGAGAAATACAAAATTCTATTTTAATTTCAATTATCATTTTCAAGACATTTAAATAACATGCTGTTGCGTAATATTATATTTTTAACGCTGACTCAATATATTTTTAAGTTATATCTTCCACTAGCGTAAATCTGTACAGTTATATTACATTTTATGTTACTTCTACCACGTTAGTGCTTTTAGTCGGTTAGGATCAATGGGTGCCAAATGTCAGGCTCTCGCGGTGACTTTTGTTTTGAGAATATTATAAACTTGAATGAAATATATAATTTATTGGATAAAAATACGTGTGTGTGTACTTATGTACGCACGTAAGAAGTTATACTTCTTTGGCGTAACAAAACAAAAAAAAACAGCTAACTTCATCATGTCGCTTTTTGGCTGTCGGTGTGCGCGCGCATAGTAAAAAATTTACTCTCATATTTTTTTCCAAACGTGCCAAAAGAAGTATAACTTCAAAAGCAGTAATTTATGTTAGTCTTGTCACATTGATAAAAAAGTGTAAAAAAAAATATTAGATATCTATTAGAATCAATAATTCTTCAACCACATCTCTGAACTGATAAAATATATATCAATAATATTTAATTTCCTGCATACTGATTTTTTCCGCGATGAATATACATTTTTTTACGATTTTAATGATTTTTTTTTTTTAATTTAACATTAAAAACCATAGTTAAATCATCAGATATTGCAGTTAGCTAAGTTAGTAGTGCTGGCTTCCATCGCGTGGGTCACAGTGACCACGAGTTTAACTGATGGTTAGTCGGTACGTATTGTCAGACGCGTTTTTATTATTAAATCTGTAATATTTTAACAAATATATTAAATGTTTTTTTGATTATTTTTGCCTTTTATTTTATCTATTCCTTATAATTTTTAAAAAGTGAATGTAAAAATAATTTTATGTGATAGGTTGATTGATAATTAATTAATCATATTTTATGTATTGATTTTGCAGTTCAAGTTTTAGCTTAATTTACTAAGTATATTTACTATATTTTTTTTTATTCATTACATTCGACTTTTCTTAGTGATAGTTCTGCTTTTTTTTTTGAAAAATCCTTAAAACAATACAATATTTATATCATTAAGTTATAAATGGATTCTCAAGATTTATTTTATCCTATATCTAAGGAAATAACGAATACGATAACCCTAATGAACTGAATAACGTGTGTAATGCACATAAAAGCATTTATAAATATCATTTCTAAAAGAAAACATTACGAATATAAACTACAACGGTCTTGTAGTAAAGAAAACATGAAATGACTTTATATATTTTGTACTTATAAATATTTTGATCTTTTATTCCAAGAAGTGGGCATCTGATTGGAGTGCCAACTTACATCACGACTCGCGGTTTCGAATCCTGCACCTCAAATGATATGAAACTATAATACTAGTACCGATGCCTCATCCCGATACGAAGAAATTGGACAGTGCTTATTCGCGATATTATTGTTTACGTGAATAGATAATCATTTTGCTGACTTACAAATATTTTTTTTATTAATAGGTATGTAAGAAATATTACGAAATTCATCCTAAATTAAGTGAAACAATTTTCAGTAACTATCACCGTTTTTAATCGTAACAAGCAACTCATAAAAAGTAAAAGCGCTATCTGTGAATGCCCTAGTAATTCATTACCTGATTACGATAATCAGTAAAATTCAACTTTGATTTACGAGCGCATTATTTCGTTTTGCTACACTTAGAATATTTATTAAAGCCATAACATATCGTTAATATTTATATTATATTTATAAAGTTAATTTTAGACAAAATGTTACAACAAATCGATACTTATAATGCCATCTGTTGATATTTATTTGTACTAACATTTCTTTGTTCCTAAGTAGACCCCATGCTTTTTTTTATGTTGGGAAATGCATTTACACATACCACCTGTAGACTTACAGGTCTATGTGGGTCTCACCAGCTCGAAAAGCCAGTACTACCCACTAAACCCAGTAAAACCTCCCCCGTGTTAATGGGGCGTCGCAGGATCGCTTAACGCACTTATGACTACGACGCCCCGAAAGTAGAACCAATGCATGCATGCATATCCCACAAAATAAAAATGATAAGATAAAAATATATATCTTTATATATATAATTCTTCTGTGAGTGTGTATGTCACTGAACTTCTCTCAAACGACTGGACCGATTTTGATGAAATTTTTTGTGTGTGTTCAAGGGGATCTGGGAATGGTTTAGATTCACAATTTGAATAATAATTTTCATCAAAAAATTTATTAAAAAAAGTTTGAAATTTTCAAATTAAAGACGTGTAGACAGGACAACGTCTGTCGGGTCCGCTAGTAATAATAGAATATACTAAGAAATATGTAGATTTGTACTGACTTTGACACCGCCTATAAAAACGCAGATTCAAGATTACTTAATGATGATGATGATCTTAAAGCTTTTATGTTATAATAGTAGTATGGCGGCTTGGACATTAGTTGCGAGCGCAAGGTAAGCGCAGCGTCTCATACCTCTGCGAACCGCTGATACCTAATATTGCGTTCTGTGCATCGGAACATGCTATGTTCAGAGGCGCCAATAAGTTGGACTCGTATAACTCGCGTCATTTAAAAAGAACGCTGGAAGAAAGTGGCGCACAAAAGTACGCCTATTATGTTATTTTTCATGGCATTTCGCTCGCGGCTTCATAATATAATAGTTATTGGTAGGGACATTGAAAAATATATTAGATAGAATATCATTAAATAGAATTCTATTCATTATTAAAATATTTTTGATTCAGTGCAGAATGTTTAATCTACTTACAAAAAATTAAATTAATACGTTTAATACATTTTTTTTATGATTAACTGCATTATTATTAGACTCTCTCTTTATAAAACAATTTATGTCAAAAACAATTTTTCTCTTTTCTATATATAAAACCATTTCTTAATTAAAAACTTTAGTGTGCGCGATGGTATTTCGAACTGACGAACCAATAGCACGCCGGCAAGCATGCGGCGCGCGCCCCGCCGCCTCGCTTCTTACCACCAATTTGACCGATAAATCGCTTCTACGCAGGTTGACAGCCAGCGTTCTTTTTAGATGACGCGAGTTATACTGTACTAGCGACAACAAAAAACAAAAACAGGTTTATCCCACGGGAGCGTACATTTTTCTGGGATAAAAACTAACCTATGTCCTATTCCAGAATATAATCTATCTTTGTGCTAACTTTCATCCAAATCCATTCAGCCGTTCTGGCGTAATTTAGTCAAGAGAACAAACATCCATGCATCCAAACTTTCGCATTTATAATATTTATTATAAAGAGATTATTAAATTCAACTTTAGTCAAAAGTATCGAATACATTTCGATCGTAATACAACAGATAGACCAAAAAATTTAAATAATAAAAGTACAAGTGAAACCGTGTTATGGTTCATATCTCAAATATCACAATCATATTAATAACACTTGTTAAATTAACTTTGCCTAGAAAATTCTGTATGGATCGATAGCGTTCATCAATTATTCCTTATCGGCTTGTATTGATTTTTTAATTAAATACCTAGTGTTTTTGAGCCCACATGTTTTATCAAGTTGAATTTACACGCTACCTATATTCATTTTAACGTATTGTTATAATATATATTTTATTATATGAGATGCGGGTTTGCTTATGTTTTAAAATTTAAAGAAACACTAAAATAAGCTACTTTAAAGGCGTTTAGACAGCTACTTGCGAGTTATTACAGAATTCCATTTTAATTTGTTAATAAGGCCAAAAGTAACAAAAGATATATAGAAAAAAATTTATTATCAACCAATCAATCAGTTGCAACAGACGGCCGGATCTACCTAAACTTCTCCATAAGTGTATTAAATTAATATTTATTACACCAGTAGTATTATCAATACATGGATAATGAACATTATAATCGACAAAGCATATCAAATCTAGTCTAGCCCATACAAATTATTATATAATAAATATATGATCATGTATTTAAACGCAAATAAAAATAATTGGGCGTGTTTTATATAAACATTCGAAAATGTTCCAAGCACTGTTCCATTTATGGACTTATTTGTGAACACATATCAAATATATTTTACTAAATTATTATGACACATGACATTTAATAAAACAATATATTTGACACGACAGTATTTATTTCATTATACATTATTTATTACATACACAAATTCCTACCATAACACTATTTAGAAACAATTATATAAACTTTTAAGCAATAACATTAAAACTAACTTGACATTTAAACTTAAATTAAATTAAACCTTAAACAAAATCTACAAACTAGTCAGTCTTTGGTGGGAAAAATGCAGAAATCCCTTACGCTAGGCCTGGGAACAATTCTGAGAAAGAATCACACCAAAAATCTGACAAGTCCATAGATTCTGGCTCGCTGAGCGGTGAAGATAGTGATTCATAGCCCAAGTCGGAGCTGAAGTTTGTATGCGAGGGTGAAGCTCCAAAGAGGTTCTCTTCGCTAGACTTAGGCGACAATGTCATAGGAGAAAGCAACTTCATGTCACATTCTAATGTAATATCTGAACTGTTATCAGTTAATATATTAAAATCTGCCTCAATATCTGTCGAAGGCACTTCTACCACTTGATCGTCACATGGCACTTCAACAGTAATACAGTCATTTGCTTCATAACTCGCATAAAACATGTCGCCTTTGTCATTGCTTTCTTCCTTAACTTCTACATCTGTGTCAGGGTAGGGATGTGCATATGAATGTTGTGCTAATATCCTGTCAATATCATGCTTCACCGCACTTAGGATTCCACTTTCACCGGATTCCAGTTGCTTTGCTGAGGTCCCCACCACTTCTCTTCCTTGATCGCATTGTGAATCACTCCTGCTTTCGACCTAGTAACAAAAATATTCCATTTTTACAACTTGCAACATTCAAGGATATACATATATCTTATCCTATCCATCCATCATATACATCCATATATTATCTTATCTAGAGCCTCATTATTATTTAAAATATGACAATTGACAATATTCAGCAACACAAAAATCTAAATACAAATTTAATTACTAGTAATAAATATTTTCTTAATAGATTAAAACAAGTTTCGACCTAATGCAATTGTCTGATGCAATATATGAATTTATGATGTTAAAAGTTTGGGATTCGCAAACTGTCCAAAAAATTGTGTAATATTGTTTTAAGCATTATAATATTTTTTTAACGTAACAATTAATGTTAGTGTGATAAATCAAGACGTAGGAACTAAATGCACTGTTTCAAAGAAGTCTGATTGAAATAATATTAATATAATTTATGCATATGACTCAGATTAGAGCTTGGCTCATATTACATCATCCTGTTTATTTGTTTTCCAATATAGCAATTATATTATACTATGTGAACTATGTGGATTTACCCAAATTAATAGAAACTCTCAGTATATTTTGTATATTAAAAGTTTTAAAATAGATCATTAATAATAAACAAAACATTTCCATACTATTTTTCTAAAACACTTACATGTTTATCCTCTCCTGGAGAATTTGCAGTAATTTCCTTGAGGAGTGAATCTGCAAGTTCGTGAAGGGTGTCAAGGTACTCAGGGGAGTCGAGGTGGGCGAGTAATTCTGCGAGAGAGCCAGTATCGCCATCAGCATGCGCGCCGCGCGGCTCGCCATCGGGGGCCCCTCCTGTGGATAAACATTATATTATTAATAAACAATATACTTGTACACTACAATTAATACTTATTGCTTCACTTAATACAACAAATTGCAAAATGATGTAACATTACCAATAGTAATCAACACCATATTATGCAAATAAAGTCAATAAAATTTATTCATATAGTTCTTAGGTACAACTAGTTATATCCACAATCTTATCTGTTATGTCTTATCTTTAATTTCATATGTAGAGTACATTTATGTAGGTCTTCTCTGGTGTGTCATATTTCTTCAACTTTACAAATAAGTTGGCCTTTTACTGATATGAGTCATAAACAAAGTGTTACTTTATTACAGCTACCGAGTACATATAACAAACCTTCTGCTGAGGATAAGACACTGCTGGTCTTGGGGCTCCCGTGACGTCCCGCGCCGCGGCCGCGCTACGCAGCGCCGCATTCTCGCTCAGTAGGCGTTCATTCAACGCCTTCAAACTCTCCACCTCACTGACTAACCGCTCGTTCATGTCCATACATTGCTTGATTCTGCTTTCCATTTCGTCCATTTTTGCCTTTTTCCTGTCGCGCGATGTTTGCGCCGCTACACGGTTCTTAAGTTTCCTGCATGATGCAATAACTTTGTAAATAATGTCTGTTAGTTTTAGTTTCCTCAATTGGAAACAATGATTTAAAATTTTACACATATGACAAATCCAAAAATTGTTTTGTGTAGATTTTATTACTAAATATAAGCTATGACTCATCGTAATAAACTAAACCAAATTAATCATAGCTGCCGCAACTTAACGTGTCATCTTTCTAGAAAAACTGACACGCAGGCAAACAATTTGAGGAAAACTTACTTTCTTTGCATTTTCTCCTCCCATGTTAGATGGTCCAGCCTCCGTTTCCTGGACGATGGACTAGGAGCCACGTCGACCACGACCTTTGACTCCAACTCATCCACCGCCAGATAATTGTTGGGAACGGTGATGATTATCGGTGCACTCATTTTTAGCCGGTGATAAAATATATTCACTAATGCTCCAAACTCGCACCACTTTTAACTTAACAATCGCATAATCAACAACAAATAAACGTCTGCTAAGAATAAGTTGTGTAAATTATTTTCGTCCGCTCACGATAAACACTTGCGTCGTACATACTCGAGCTCATGTCAAATAATAAGCGAGTTTTACGTTTCTCGAAAAAGCGTACGTGCCGCTTTGTGATTGGCGCCTGCATTCGAGTGGGTGGTTCCGATTAACGGATTATTGTATTTTAGAGTGAAATAACAATATCGTTAGAGCTAGGAAGTGCTAAAAAGAATGACGCAAGTCGCTAACTGTTAAAAAAACCGGCAATGTGTAATAATTAGATTATATGTATTAGATATTTTGCGGGAAAAAATTGAAACGGTACTTGAACGTGACGATTTTAACTACAACATCAGCATCACTAGGCTCGTGCAATGACCTTTTTGTGTAGAGACGTTACCGGGCTTACGATGCAATTACTATTTTTTTTACATTTTATTTAGCCTATAATTTACATTAAGTTGAGAACTTGTCAATATGACTTATCGGCGCTATTAAATAAATATTAGGTCTTGGTCTAATCTATCTAAATATATTTTTATAAATAATAATTAAATATAACATAATTAAAATGATGATTGATGATGAAATATGAAGGTAATTTTTCTTGTCTCCAGTACTTTTTGCGTTACTCAAAGTGTCGTGTACTTTTTCCCCCACACCCACTAGGTCGACAATAATCTATATTATCTATAATCTATATACATCTGTACTACAAATATACCGCCAATCTACTTCACTTGATTTCTCATATATAACATCACAATATATTTATCTACGTAACGAAAACTTATCGAATATTACAAAATAGAATAAATCGTTATACTTAAAAATGAATCCAGAATAAATTAACTTAATTAATTATTATTGGCAGCCCAAGACTAAAATTACCTATATACCTATTTATCTAGCGACTCACCCTCGCTAGTCGCTACGCTCAGGTTCGTCCCTAGCTTGCTTCCCAATACAAACTTTCATCCCCATTTTCATATTCTTAAGGGATGATTTCCGGGGTAGAAAGTACCCTATGTCCTTTCCAGGATCTCAAACTATCTTCTAATCAAATTTCATCTAAATCAGTTCAGTAGATCCAGAGATTACCACCTACAACGTCACAAACTCACAAACTTTACCTTTAGATGGGAGTAGCAATGATGCAACGATGAGATGAAAACATTTTTCGACAGAAAGCTGGAAATTGAAAAAAACTATTTTTCAACACTGCGTCCCTCCTTTTCTCGGGGGTAGCTGGCCATCGGGGGTATCCTATAAATTTCTATTCCTTATATATCTGCTAACGTTTTAAAACCATAAAACTTCAGGTTTTTATTTGTTTGTAAAACGGAATCCGATTGGACTATAATGCAACTTTCTATACATTCCTACAAAAATGGCGCTCTCCTATCAATTCTTGATTATGGATATTTTCGAAAAAATAATGAAAAACAACATTATATTTCAGCCAGAGGGTACGAGTCTGGGTACGAGTCAACTTTCAAAGCGAGAGGGCTAATCAAATACGGTTTCGCGGATTTAATATGCTTATCGTAAACTAGTTAGATTCTGTCAGACTTCTAGGTTTTTTTCACAATATTTTCCTTTACTGTATTATAATAAGTGGCAAATTATGATCACAACGATGTGCATATGAGATACTTAAGATGTGTGAAGTCCAGAGCTTGAACCCGCTTTACTTAGTTTCCCAAGCGAGTGTGCTACCACTGGGCTCCCACTGCCAGAGCCAGTGTAGGATGCATGTATGTATATAACTAAATAAAATTATCGTTATTATTTATATTGTAACCTTTTTTTCGCCAAAAAAGGGCCTGTGGGTAGTTGTAAATTATATTTTATGACTATTCTGTTGATTATTTAAATGTTAGATCGGATTTTATTTATGATGACATAAAAAATAATAGGAATATGCGTGTCATATAAATAAAGGTGCAATATATCGAAATTTAATGTATAACACCTATTAAACATTAATACTTAATAACACAAAGAATTTCAATAATATACTGTAATAAAAACCTGACTTCGTCTGTGTTTCTTTTTTTCAATATTTAATGCAAATCACTCGAGAAATAGTATTTCTAAATTTGAAATTTCTAAGTTTAGGTTGTGCGTTATACTTATACAAATAATCACAGTAAGTACTGTTTTGTAGGTAGAGATATATTTTTTTACCGACTTCCAAAAACGAGGAGGTTCTCAATTCGTCGGAATCTTTTTTTATGTATGTTCACCGATTACTCGAAGACGCCAGAACCGATTTGGAAAATTTTTGTTTTGTTTGAAAGGGTATACTTCCCAGGTGGTCCCATATAAATTTTATCGAAATCGATCGAACAGTTTTTAAAAAAATCAACAATACATATTTTTTTTAAACAAATTGTTTAATCGAATATGTTATTAAAAACTTTCTTGCTACAAATTACCTGCTTAATACATCTACACTAAAAATATAAAAATAAAACCTTTTTAAAAATAAATAAAACCAACTTCCAGGCACTAAAATGTAAAAAATAACTAAACGGGGTTTTCATATAGAATACATACCTAATCAGATATTTTCGAAGTCGGCGCCAGCGGACAATATTTTAATATATGAATATCTAATAGGTAAATATGTATTTTACGTATCAAAATATATTAGATTTCCTATGCGTCGGCTGGCACTGACTTCGAAAATATTGATTAGGTATGTATTCTAAATGAAAACACCCGTTTAGGTTTTTTTTACATTTTAGTGCCTGGAAGTCGGTTTAATTTTTTATTTTCATTTAATGAACAATATCGCAGGTAATTCTAGATTACCTACGGATTATCTGGTGGTTTCATTACTGCCATAATATCTATGAAATGGTTAGCAATTTTATAACGTAGGTAATTACCTCTATTGTCGATGAAATTTTCTCATTAAAGGCCGCCAACAAATTGTTTTGACGCGTCATAAGCTTACAGGAAACAACCGTATGACGTCTCCAAAACCGAAATGGACATGGAAATTATAATGGTCGTGCCTGAGAAAAAATTTAAATCTTTCAACGAAACATTTTCTCATTGCACCTTTGCGCTCGCGATTGCCCTCATTTACCCGAATCCAACAAATGTCAGAAAACGACTTATATTATTTTGCTTTGATGTATTTTTCCATTCTATTATATTAATTTGGTTTTTCTTATACTTATTCAAGTGTATGTATAATCTGGATATGTATAATCTCGCTAGACAAATCACAATAGGTATCTTAGTGCTCGTTTTTTTCTTCAAAACATTACACGCCTTTGGGAAAGTTGAAAAATTCGCCCAATTTTTAACAAGATAACCGAAGACTTATTAAAAAGCAATGAAATGGAAAAAGATTATCAAATGATATATGAATATTATATTAAAATCGGCAAAATCGAAATTCGGTTTGAATGCCGAACATTCGGCAATTGAAATAAAAACTACTCGCGCTATTTGGACTGAAATTAATAGAAAGCATGTCTGTTATACTAATAAAATAAAATCTTTTATGTACTCATTGGTCTGATCGGAATCCGGTTTGGAAACGATAAAATTTAAACCTGAAGTTATATATCTTCAAAAGGTATATAAGGAACAAAATTCCTTAAAATGCCCCCGATGTCCAGCTATCCCCGAAAAATGAGGGGATTAAAGCGTCGAAAAAAACTTTTTTTCAATTTCCGGCTTACTGTCACGCCCTATCAAAAAATGTTCTGTTTAAAAGTTGTAGGTGTAGTAAAAATCTACAACTTTTATAGATGTTATTTTTTGCAATAACCTCAAAGTTTTCGAGATATTTGCAAAAAAAACATTTTTAATTTTTTCTTGGTTTTTTATTTTTATTTACAATTCGCAAATTGAATAAAAAAAACACGTTCTTGGTTCACAAACAAAACACTCAGAAAACATTAATTATTAAAGTATTTTTAATTATTACAGTGCCACGACGTGTAGTGATACGACATGTAGTGAAATATAAATATAATAAATAAAAAAATAAGAAAGCCCGGCGAAATTGGACCAAAGTTCGGCCGAAGTTTTTATTCTCACCGAATATTCGGCCGAAGTACGTATTCGGTTCATGCCACATTCGGCCCATCTCTACTTAATACTTATAGTGTTGAATTATGGTGTAATGTTATCATTTTTTATTCTGCACTTAATAAATAGACAGCCATGCCTCTAAAAGCTTGCGTTGAAGAAAAAGAAAGGATTCATACAGGGCAAGTTAGAGGCGGAAACTAGTTTAATAAAAAAATATTTTAAATATAACTATCTTTAAAAAAAATATTTCCTATTTATTTCTAGACTAGTGAAGAGTTAAGTTGGGACCTGTATGGTGCTGCATGGGAAGAATGCCTGATCCAGTTGTGCAAAAACTTTTTATTTTTATGATAACAAAATCTCAGCAATCACTTATACTGACTGGGAATGACCTAGTATATTTCAACATGCAGCTTTTTATATCAGTATTACAAACGTCCTACTCTGTATTCACGCTTATTTCAAATTAAATCCGTATAGCAATTTATACCTCCGCTGTAGATAAAATCTAATATGAAAATGTTTATGATTTGCACAATAAATATAGAAGCACATAATATAAGCGACACGTATCTCTTATTTTATTTATAATATTAATGAAATATTCACAAAAATTTTTAGTAAATTATTTAATAAACGGTTTTCAGGCTTAAAGTTGCAGTTTCATTTTCAGACGATGAGTTTAATTCAAAAGCCAGATCCTTAGAACAATACAATGTATAGGAAAATATTTCGTTTTCTTATAACTACCTTACAATATACCCAATATACCTTACAAAAAGTAGTGGTGATGATGTGATTATGTTCTCCTAGCCGATTCCGGCTACGGCGGCTAATCTCATTGAGACTAGCCAACTGCGCAGGAGACATTATAGTGCACAAGTGTACGCGCAGACACAACGTGCACTCTCTATTCTTGTCACTCTTATACTCCGGTAGGACGACCACTCGACACGACCAGTGAGAGTTAAGGCGCAGGAACGACGGCTTTACGTGCTCTCCGAGGCACGGGGGTGAAACACCGCCAACTTCCCAGCTCCGGGCTGTTACTAAGGCTTACTATACAGAAAGACACAATAGCTAAACTTGGCCTGACCCGGGACTTGAACCCAGGACCTCCGGGTGTGCAGCCGTACATGCTAGCCACTACACCACCGAGGCAGTCTAAAAAGTAGTGGTAGTCCAGTGGTAACGGGCTCGCTTGGAAAACCGAGTGAAGCAGGTTCAAATCTGGGTCTGGCATATCTGATCTTTTCATTGCGAATCATTTCCTATGTGATTACCACTTACTTGTCTTACGGTGAAGGAAAACATCGTGAGGAAACCTGCATGTCTGAGAGAACCTAGTAAGTTTTCGAAAGACATGTGAAGTCCATCAATCCGCACTTGAGTATAGCCTGATCCCCCTCGTATTATAATAATAAACAATATATATTAATTATTAAATAATATGTGGACTTACCTTTTTGACTAATTGAAATACTGTCAATTTTCCAACTTAGAGCTGCTGTTGAGACTTTAACAAAAATACTCAATCACAGACCTCCGGATATGCAGCATAATCTGCCGAGTAAATAGGGAAATAGAAATACTTGAATCTAAGCATTCTAAATGTAAGAAAAATGTACGTGGACAGACATAATATATCGGAAGTATCTTTTCCCACCACAACTGAATTCCGAGCCTATGGACTAGTTGACGATTCAAAAGTGCTTCTAAAAGTCTATTCAATAATAAGATAATTCTCAAGCCATTTAAAGCAACAGTGCGTACCAAAGAATAAATATATGTATCTACGTCTATTCATTTATGGCTTAAACGTCTGAAGGCACCTGGAACTAATACGAAAAAATAATGAACATTACATATCTAATTTTCTATTTTAATAAGAATATTATTCATAAAAAAATCATTTTGAAAACATTTTCCGCCGCAATATTATCGTTTCTTACGATAAGCGACAGCGAGACATGTAAATTAGCAGTTTATCTTTACTTTTGCTTACAAATGTACAGTAGGTAACATTATAATATCCAGACAGACAGAACAATAAAAATCTTAGTTTCATTTACTCTATTAAATAGAGCTATTAACATTTTATTGCAAATAATGTTTTAAATTAAAAGTATAATTATTAATTTCACATTAGATGCTCTCGCCACGAGACGGTTTTTAAACTATAGCGGAATGTAACGTGAACGACTCTTTATTCTTCGTTGTAGAAGACGTATTTATTTATTAATTTACGAGAGAATAAGTAGCTATAGTATTTTTATAAGAGCACAGAAAATGGTATTATTTTTTATTTATATTTGTAAATCTAACAATTATGTAAGTTTCATAATGAGATATTTAACGAAAAGTGACAAGAGGATTATGTAATTGACTATCTAGAGCTTTTTACTTTTTAAAATAGGGTGCTATTCAACAAGGGCCTCTTAATGTGTCGAGATAAAAAGTTAAGTAGTCTTCCTCTCGCTCTATCTAGTTCCTGGCCCTAAACTGCCTCTATTCAAAATAAACGTCGATACCTTGCTTCATTACACCATGCACCGTGAAAAAAGAACTATTAGCAACACTTTCACGTTAAGCATAAGATTGAGTAAAGATTCCAGGATCTGTCTATACGAAATATATAATACCATAGTATCATAGTTTCTAAGGAGTAAGGCTTAGGCTTTCTTAGGCTAAGCGACTCGGTGTCAGTAGATCCTCAATTCCAGAACGTTTAACAGTGAACTATAGAGCGTAGCATCTCTCTCTTTTTCTTTTTCTAACGCATCATCTTTAACTTTTACAATAAGTATTTTTACTTTTCATATTATAATTATAAATCAATACACTAAAATTTATGATCAGAATTACTTGAAACTTGGTATTAATGCTCTTCAATACAGTTGAATCAATACGAGTTTTAGTATTTTTCGAAATTCAATCTCATATGGGGATAAAAATGGGGGATGAAAGTTTGTATGAAACTCTGTAATTAATATGTAATAATTTGTATGTAAAAAAATACCTGTAGACGATTTAGAAGTTTTATTAAAAAACTTTTTTTAAAATTATGCCCACATATGATATAGCTCTTTCTTGGGAACAAATGAAATCCATTTTCTTTGCATCCTGGCACTGCACAATTTGTCAATTTAATTAAATTTTAAATAAAATAAAAAAAAACATCCACGCTATAATGCTTTACACTATATGCTGAGGGCTATAGTGATCGCGACATCTGGCCGGAGAATAAGGCAAAATTATTCCCCATTGGAAAACGGGGTCTTTCTTTCTAGTTTTATAGCACTAATATGATTGTTGCTTTCGCCAAAAAGAGACACATCGAAAAAAAACAGTGTCGGCTTTTGTTTTGCTTGTCAATTGACACCTTTAATTGTCATCAATGATTGTCAGTTGTCTAATGTCTTTGTCAAATGTCAATTGTCATTCTCATTTCATATTTGTCAATGTCTAATGATTCTTGTGGCTTAATTGCTCAATTCTCATTACTTAATGGTTTAAATTAAATTATCAAATAATAAGTTCGTTGTCATTAAATAATCAATATTAAATAAATTAAGCAAATATGGCATCTACTAGTGCAGATCCACAGTCTTCGATAGCACAAAAAACATGGGTAATGGCTAACAATATAGAAACTATATCAAGTGTTGACGATATTTATCGTTACGATAAAAAACAACAACAGGACATTTTAGCTGCAAAACCATGGGAAAAAGAGTACGTTAAATAAGCTATAGTATAGTAATAATCATGTTTAATTAATAAATTGTGACGGTACTTACTCCGATTCTTAATTTTAGTCCCCATTTCTTCAAAGACATCAAAATATCAGCGCTTGCGTTGCTGAAAATGGTTATGCACGCGCGATCTGGAGGTACATTAGAAGTTATGGGGTTGTTGTTAGGTAAGGAACATAAAAATTGGAATTGGCATTTAGGTTATGTTTTATGACGATCGTGTTTTATTTAAAATAAATATTATTTTTTCAGGTAAAGTTGATGCAAACACAATGATTGTAATGGACTCATTTGCATTGCCAGTAGAAGGAACTGAAACTAGAGTTAATGCCCAGGCTCAAGCTTATGAATATATGACTGCTTACATAGAAGCTGCAAAACAGGTAATATTTTCTAGTATGAGAGACTTGCAACTTTGTTTCATTTTACCCAGCACTTTATTTAATTTATTGCTTTCCAAAGTAACACTTTCTTAACACTAACCTGCATTCAGTTATGCCAATAAAATATTGTTTTCCACATAAACTTTATGACTCTAAATAGGATACTTTAAAGTTAAGTGTTTGAGTTATATTAAATGGCTTCTTAGTTGTTATAAATACTTATAATGATAGGATAAGTAATTTAATATATTTTATAAATAAATTATAGTGGAGTATTAGTTGATAATTCCATGAATACAAAATTTTCATAAATTTCTTGATCTAAAATTTTTAGGTTGGCAGACATGAAAATGCAATTGGTTGGTATCACAGTCATCCTGGCTATGGATGTTGGCTCTCGGGCATTGATGTCTCCACACAGATGCTTAACCAGAACTTCCAGGAACCATTTGTTGCTATTGTTATTGATCCTGTCAGAACTATTTCAGCAGGAAAAGTGTGCTTGGGTGCTTTTAGAACATATCCTAAGGTATAGCTTTACATGTGTCTAACACATAAGACATAGGTCTGTATTGTTAAAGTATTTTTGTGATTTTATGGATATGTTTATTGTTTACCTATTTCAATATAAGATAGAATAAGTAAAGTTTTATACCTAAACTGGATGAAGACTCGTTAAAATTCATCAAAATAATAATTTGGTAATAGATATTTAATGCAAATATTTAGACTTTATATTATGCAGTAAGAAGTGACTGCTGTCAATGGAATAAAATGTAGGGAACCATGCATATGAAATATATTTATAGCAAGCAGTCTATAATAAAATATTTTTTTATGAAGGGTTACAAACCAGCTAACGAGGAGCCATCAGAATATCAAACAATCCCGCTCAATAAAATAGAAGACTTTGGAGTACATTGCAAACAATATTATTCTCTTGAAGTGTCATACTTCAAGTCTTCATTAGACAGAAGGTTGTTAGATTCTCTCTGGAATAAATACTGGGTGAATACGCTGAGTAGCTCCAGTTTGATCACCAACGCAGATTATACTACCGGACAGATATTTGATCTATCTGATAAATTGGAGCAGAGTGAAGTTTGTTTAGGTAAATTGATATATCTTGCTTCCTTTATTTTTAATACAGGTTAATTGATATGAAATAACTTAAAAATTTAATATTTTACAAAGGCAATTTTATGATTACTTACTTTTTTGGTAGTGTTAATTTGTTGTAATTATCTCAGTAAAAGCTATTTATCTATATATAAAATTATCTGTGTGTCAGTAACAATTTTTCATGAGAGTTAATCATCACCACTCCAGAGATATTTTTTAATATGTTAGAGTTAAGTCCTAAATCACTCTTTAAGTCCTGTAAATCTGTTTATTACTTCTACCACAAATCACATAATACTATACTAGTACAGATGCTTCATCCCATACAAAGGAATTGGGCAGCGCTAATTCGGGCTATTTTTTGTTATCTTATATAGATAATAGATGTAGTTGATTGGAAAATTTTAAAACTGTTTTATTTCATAAATATGTGCAAACTAATGTATGGTAAATATTGTAAAAATCATCCTGCATTCGAATAAAAAAAATTCTGTGATTTTGTGCCATCTGTGAATAGACACTATCTATATAATAATTATCTAATTGTTGATATTTCAATAATTAGTAAAATTACGCAAATTTTATATACGAGCGCATAATTTCGTTTCCCTTCACTTTTTAAAACAATCATTTAACTTTTTGGGATCTGTTAATTTTTGTTAATTTAACACACCTTTAATTATAAATCGGTACATGTAACGTCAACCATTGATATTTCAAATAATTTTTGTTTGCTAGTGATGAGACCACATGCTTTTACTGAAACTGACTATAATTAATGTGACTTATGGCCGATTTCACCAACGTCACCTAAGTTTAAGGGATCCCCTAAGCATGGTTAGGGGGCTGTTAGGGGACAGTTTCCGTTTCACCGACAGTTAGGGGTCACCTAAATGTTAAAAGGCCCCCTAAATTTAGGTGCTCGAAAAATGGGCTTAAAGACGATAGTAAAACGAAATTTAATTTAGGGGCTAGTTAAGGGGAATTTTAGAGCTAGGGATCCCATACGTAGGTGATAGCTTATAGGTTGTTGGTGAAATCGGGCATTAGTCTTTTGACATTGTGATTTCATTAAAAAGAAGTTTTGTTCTTATAGTAAGAAGTAAAAAATCCGTATGCGGAAAAAAACGGACTTTAACTGCATGTTTAATTTAAAGTAAATAATTTTCAGGTCGAGGAGGTTACATGGTCGTAGGAAGTGACCCGAATGAGAAACGCACCGAAGATAAACTTGGCAAGGCCACTAAAGATGCATGCAAGACCACAATAGAAGTGATTCACGGACTCATGGCCCAAATGATTAAGGATCGCTTGTTCAACAGTGTCAGTGGACGTCCCGCACCTCCCACACCTATGATCGAGTGAATGTAATAGCTCTCCTGTAATTAATTTAGTCATTTATATATTTCCTTAAATATTCACCAATTAAAAAATATTAAACCATTATAGTTCTTTTCAATTTTAACCATATCTTATTTAGTATGTAATAGTTACTTATGTCAATGCCTTGCCAAGTGTCTACTAATATATAAAACTAGCGTATATTGTAGAGATTAGTATGGAATAAATAGTCGATTCCTTGCTCTGTAAAAAATAAATCTATCCCACGGGAGCCCTACATTTTCCGGGATAAAAAGTAACCTATGTGCTATTCTAGACTATACTCTGTGCCAAATTTCATCCAGATACGTTCAGCCGTTCTAGCGTGGTTAAGTAACAATTATCCATCCATTCAAATTTTTGCATTTATAAAAGTAGCATGGGGTCTTATCACGATCAAAGAAAAATTAGTTCAAATAAATGTGAATATATGACGTTACATGTATCAATTTGTTACTAGTTGTGTTAAAATTTAAATTAACAAAGAATAAAAAAGTGGAAAAACGAAATAATGCGCTCGTAAATAAAATTGCGTAATTTTACTGATTATTGTAATATCATCAATCAGATGATGGGTTTGTAGTGTATATTCATAGATAGCGCTTTTACTTTTTGTGAATTATCACGGTTAACAAAATTTAAAATTACATATTTTTTTTATTCGAATGCGGAATAAATTTTACAATATTTACCAATCGGCTTTATTTTTTGTCCAATTTCTTTGTACGGGATGAAGCATCTGTATTATGTGGTCTGTGATAATAATAAGATAGCAAACTGAGAAAGGAAAGAAAACAAATAATGTGATTATATAAACATTCTCAAATATTTATTAACCAATTTACATAAAATCATTATCATTATGTACATCTTCCATAGCTTTAGTTACATAAAATCATAACATCTCGTCGTGGAGGGCCTTCTATCAACCAGGTAAGGTAAAAACAAGCACCAAATTGCGATATATTCTTCTGCCAAGCTCTTTTTATATGATGTCATGAAATGTTAGAGGATACTGGAGCTACGTTTACATTTATTTATTTCACCATGCTACTTATTTCATAGGCCTTAGTATAAATTAGGAAAATATAATTTATTTCATCATAAAATGAATAACTACATATTATATGCTAAATAAGACAATAAATTAAAAAGAAAGTAATTGAATTTTATAATAATATATGGAATTAATTTCTCAAAATACGAATCTTTGTAACAAAGTTTAAAATATCGCAAGTGTAAACGTAGCGTAACAAAAACAGTCATGCATCGTGTGAACTTCGCTGTAATTTACCTACTATAATGTGTTGGTAATAACTTAACAAGCAAAACTATAACTTAATATGAAAAACGATTATTACTAGTATTGGCTTGAATTAATGTTGACAATAATATGCAATAATTAAAAAATATTAGGGATACAAATATATAATATAATGGAACTCATTCGTAATATTTACATTGTCACTAAATAAAATAATTTCAAACAAAATACACTGAACTAAATTAAAAACTATATTTAAAATGCAATGAAACGTGTTCGCAAATCAGAATAAGAATTGATAGTAAAAATTTATTAAAAAAATATATAACCGTGTAAAATAAAGTTGTAATTCACTTATTATAATAAATAAAATGAAATGTCAGACGTGAACAGCAATGTTTTATACAAACCTATAGAGTCTGGAATATCCTAGTTGTATCACACATATAATATTCAAATCAGAAGAAACGATGGATCTTTATATTATAACAGAAATCATTTTTAATTATATTTTATATTTACTTTGAGAGGGTCCCCTTGGGAAGGGAACCTTTGAAACACGCCAAAAAACATGTATAGCTGTATGTATGTAGGTACTTCGGTGATATATGATAGTTTTTATTTAGTTAAAAATCCATCATGACCTCTAAGATACTTATAATAATTTATTAAGTACATTTGACGCGATCCATCCTCTTACTATACATAGTATGTTACAAATACGCATATGTACAGAAAGACACGAGGAATTCATATTAATTGCATTCGCGGCGTTGCTTGCGACAGCAACTCGCGCACAATATATTAAAAAAAAACATTCAATATTCCAAAATCGATTTAGCCATTTCTGTTTAATTATGGACAAACTTAGTATTATTTCTTTATCATTTAATAAATCTCGCTGAAAATATATATATAAATTATTATTTTTGTCGTTACAATGAGATTTATATAATACTGAAATCCAGAAAAATAGTTTGTAATTTCCGCAAAAACTTTAACTCTCATGACTAATTATTTTTGTTAATGCGAAAATAATAAATATATTTGTCGATAATATAAAGATTATAAAAGCGTTCAATTAAAATTAAAAATTTAGAAGGTTAAATTTTTCAAATTTGGGCCCTCGTAGCAATATAAATAGACCAAGTCTTTAATAAATCTATCTAAACGTGGAATGTTAAACGAATCTCTATGATGAGTGACGGCTACGCGCTCACGTACTATTGAAATTCAGTACTTTTGTTATTTCGAGTTAGAATATAAATATGAAAACTTTAATTTTATTTCATAGAAATGTTGCTTTTTGCTTTAAAGAACCAATATATAATTTTTTACCTTCACAGTATATCATAGCTTTTACATACAAAAATATATATTATTATAACCAGTGGCGTAACTAGCCTTTTTGGGCACCAATGCAAACAAAAGTGCGTGTGTGCAATTCACATAAGGTAGAAGCGAAACTTAATATTATATATTTGTTAGACAATAACAACGGTTACCATGGCTATGTATTCTATCTCATTCACTCGCTGGCTTAATCCTATATATTTATGTGTTTGTCTCTTTCTAGTGTAGCATTTCCGTTACATCGAATTTCAAATAACAAGGATTCTAAAGAAATTTCAATTGAAAAATATGAGGCCCCTCTTAAGATCAGCGTGAGCCGTGAGTCCTGCTGTACTCTTATATATTTGAATATGACAGAGGTAGTTTTAGAACTTGTAAGTTTTTTCAAACTGCTCTCACGGAAGAACGGGTAGAGTAAAATTCAGTAAAAAAGATCAGTTTAGAAGACCATAGGATGTAGGTTCAATCACATTCCTCGTGGTCCTCGTAAAAAATAATATGCGGAAATTTAGGACACTTTTTTTTGCGTTTTTTTTAAACTTCTATAGGGCCTTTAAAAAAAATGTTTTAAAATAAAAGAATCGTTTGTGACCCGCTGGGGCCCCCTTAAATGAGGGGCCCCATGCATTGGTTGCATTGGCATAGCTACGCCACAGATTATAACTAGAATAGGTGAGTGAACTATTATTTCAATTTTTACTTAAACCTCGTTAATCATATTTAAATTCTAAGCCGATGAATTTCACTTATTATTAATTCCGCAAAAATAACAAAAAGCTGCCGTTTATTAGTAAGTTTACAACCTTTTATGTTGTTTTAGTGATATTCGATTGTTTCCTTCACCATGTCTCACTGAACACCTCGAGTGGAAAGTTTTTATTGCCATAGAATTAGATGACGTAATAATAAATTGCCCCACTGTTTTCTAATTTGACTGTAACAAACGTTAAAGAAGAAGGAAATCCTTCTAAATCCATAAATAATTAGTATTTTCCACACATATGTACTATGAATACATATGTTTCTTTAGAAAAAACACTTGAGTGGGGCAAACCTTATGTATATAACCTCAGTACATCTACACTGCAATGATCTTTTGAATATCAGCATATTAATAATTATTCTTTAAAAGATATGCATATTATTTTCATTCAAAGTAAATAAAAAAAAATTAAATATGTTTTTAGATACTCATTCAAACTAATATTATAAATTCAAAAGTATGTCTTGATGTAAAATTTTCTTTTCGATATAATTAATGCTTCAGACTTCACTACTTGTAGAACGTGGACTTATGGGTCAAATACCTAGAGAAGCACCCGAGTAAAGCAAGGGTAAGTCACTAGTTTAAAGCAAATATGCTGAGTGTGTAGACGATCTACGGTCATATTATTATATTCAGGCAGTTCAGCGATCAGGTCCGAGGTCTCGTCAGTTGAACAGGTCCGGTGGGAAGTTGTTCACCTCTGCCTGCTCCAGCACGGGGTTGCCCTCAATGTTGTATGACACTCTTATTCTTAATCGGAGGGGCGCCTGCAATATATATTTATTAGTTAATTAATTGATTAAACTTTATTAAAATTCAATGAGATATTATAAATTAAAATAACATTTATTTCTTATTATTCCATTAATTCTGGATTTGGATTCTGCAGAGCCCGCGGCTTCGCTTGCGCTAAAACTACAAAAAAAATCTCCAAATAAAAAGGTAGGTTTCATGCAAACTTTCATCCCCTATTATATCCTCTTACGGGATGAATTTCAAAAATGCTAAAACACGTATTTAATTGTATTGTAGAGCATTAATACCAAGTTTGAAGTAATTCTGATCATAGGTAATTTTCTGTGTTGTATTACAACGTGTTTTCTTGTGGGAATGAGATAATATCCCGCGGTAAAAAGTAGCCTATGTCACTCTCCAGCCAATCCGTCACTCTCTTTTAACGTGAAAGAAGGACAAACAAACACGCTATCACATTTATAATATTAATATGGATATTATAAAAATTCAAGAAGTAAAAACTAACTTCATTACGCTAATATTTTATATGCGAAAGTTAAGTAAGAATGCGAGTTAAGATTTTATTTCTTTACAGTTTAAGTTATAATGGCTCAACAGATTTTTCGAAAGGTAGCTTATTTCCTGGATTAACATAATATATCAATAAATATGTTGGGACATTAACACACAGCAAAATCTAGTTCCATGGTAAGCAACGAGGCTTGTGTTATGGATCCTGATAGTTGATACATTACACATATATAATTTTAAATACATACGAGTAGATGTTATACATATAAACACCCATGACTGGAGTACAAACATTCGTGCTCATCACACAAACGAATGACCCCAGCGAGACTCGAAACCTCGAAACCACAGTAAGTACAACACTACAAACTGAGCCAAACGTGTCGTCAAAAATATATGAATACTTTTAGTCAATTACCTTGGATGGATTGGTGATTTTGAGGACTTGCGTGATCTCTCCCTGCGGCGTCAGTACCGTCCCCGACGGCGACATCATATCTAACCGGAATGTCTGAATCAACAAAAGAAAATGAGTGGTTGAAAAAATTTAACATTTCTTGGTAGTTTTAAATTAAAATTATCTTTTCGGATTTTTTTTAGTTCCCGGCGAAATCTGATATCTAAGAAGTAAGCAAATTCAAAGATGACTAATTATGGGATAAGTCTGTAGTCAATTCAAAAATTAAAAATAAACTACTTTATATAATAATAAAATCAAATAAAAATCTATATAATAATAAAAAGATAGTAGAGTGGACCCAGAACAACCCTTTGGGTGTTCTGAGTTGCTTCGGCAGGCAGGCAGTCGTCCGGGCGTCGTGGTTGATTGCGACGCCCCATTAACATATACAAGAGAGGTATGCGTAAATTTATTTATAAACTATACAACTATAATTGCTAGTTTTGCTATAGGTTGTATGTATAATATTACTTTTAACTGCTTATATGTTGATGTTTAATCACAAGTGGTACCATTCAGTTATTTTTATATATCATATTGTGGTGGCAAGTATTTACTATGTATTAGATATTTGTGGAAACTTGGTTGGTTTTAGTTAGTTTTATATGTGTTTATAATGTAATTATTTATTGTACAGTTTGTTTTCCTTGAAAAGTTAATAAAAAATAAAGGTTAATTAAAAAAACCGGCCAAGTGCGAATCGGACTCGCGCACGAAGGGTTCCGTACCATTATCTATAAAAACGGCAAAAAACATCACGTTTCTTGTATGGGAGCCCACTTAAAATATTTATTTTGTTTTGCAGTATTTGTTGTTATATAGCGGCAACACAAACACATAATCTATGAAAATGTCAACTATTTAACTATCATTCATGAGATACAGTCTGGTGACAGACGGGCGGTCAGCAGAGTCTTAGTAATAGGGTCCCGTTTTATCCTTTGGGTACGGAATCCTAAAAAAAACAAAGTAGTAAAACAGTACCCTGGGCACGGCGGCCTGGAACAGGAAGTCTGTGAGCGGCGCGAGCGAGCGCGCGCGCATTGTGAGCGTGGCGGCGTCGCCGCGCGCCGCCAGCGCCGCCAGCTCCACCGTCACGCCGTTGCGCTCCAGCGCGCGCACCACCGTCTCTGCGATGACGACATTTTATGTATGGATTTGTTAATACAATAATTATTGATAAGATATTTTTTATTAATTGTATTAATCGGTAAATAAAGTATATATAGTAAATGATATAAATGAAAAAGATCAGAACTTATATTGTTGTGAAAAGAAACAAATGAGTTAATAAACAATAAATCTAAAAATTGAACCTAATCGCCTCATGCGGTTTTATATTTAGTTATTTTGCAAATTGAAGATATAAAATATAACATAAATATATACTTACATGATTTTCTTATTTCTATTCTATTATATTTTCAATAAAATTTATAAAGATATTTAAAACTCTAATATTAATACAATAATTCTTTATTTTGTACTATTACTATACAAGTATAAATAAAATAAATATGCAATGTAAATGATGTAAAATTTATGTAGTGTATTTATTTCTCTATTTATATTGTAATATAAATAAAATATTAAATGACACAGAACACAAAAGCATCTAACCTTGCGGCTGGTCGGGCGGCGGCGCGGGCGCGAACAACCCGTCGAGCAGCAGCGACGGCGACGCCACGTTGTTGTTGGCGACGCTGGCGGCGGCAGCGGGCGCGGGCGTGCTCAGGTCCAGCCCGCTGAGGAGGTCCAGGATATCCTGGGAATTGGAAATAAATAGTGCTGTGAGATTGACTAGATTATGGATCGTATTCAGCCCTTTTTAATGTCCCAGTGCTAGGCAAAAGCCTTCCTTCAAGACGAGCATCAGGCCATAGTCCTCCACGCTGGCCAAGTGCGGGTTGGCGGACTTCACATGTCTTTCGAAAACTTGCTAGGTTCTCTCAGACATACAAGTTACCTCACGATGTTTTCCTTCACCGTAAGGCAAGTGGTAATCATGTTGAAAATGAGACCCAGGATTTGAACCCGCTTCACTCCGCTTGCCAAGCGAGCGCGTTACCACTGGGCTACCACTGCCTAGATTATGAATATTGCAGGGTCATTGAATGTTATGTAATATTAACATCATTTTCTTTTGGTCATGTTAAAATTTGATTCTAGAGTTATCGTTTCTGGCGGCACCAGTTGGCGCCACAGGCGAGTAAGGTCCTATAGCTGTCTTTGAAAAAGTATTTTCTATTGCGACAGAGCCAAGGCATGTAATATAATAATAAAATTATTTGTTAGCTAGTTTATCAGAATTTTATTTTAAATAATTAATAATTATGAAATAAATAAAATATAAACTCTTTCTTAGTTCTTCTTTTAAAAGCACTAACGTTAATTAAGTCATACTGTATGTCTGCCATAATAATTATGTAATCAGAAATCTTAACAACAATCCACAAACAGAAAATCAGTGATGAAAAGCTCGTACACAGTTATCATTCAGTGTCTTTTGACATTCCCAGAAATCTCACTCTACACTAGCGCCTCTCGCAGCTAATTCAAGCGCGATAGATCTCATTACCACAAGCTATGTGGAATTATCCACATATTTCAATAGAAGAATATAAATATGTATACTTATTTTATCATTTAAAGTTTAATTCTATTTGAAAACGTTCTTTAAACAGTATTAATCGAATAAAATTAATATTGTAAATAATTATTGTAACTCACATTAGTATTAGAGTTGTTGTTAGAGGGCGCGGGCGGCGCGTGCTCGACGTCACCATTTGAGAGCAGCTCTGATCCATTGATAAGGTCTAATAATGCGTCCTAGAAATGAAATACGCAAATATAATCAGAATAGTGTTATAAATAAAGGTTGTATGTGTAGGAAGATTGTTGAGTAATAGGTATATTGTTGGAATGAGATAAATGTATGTGAGTGAGTGCGTAAATAAGTGAATGAGTGAGCGAATGAAGTATGATGATTGAAATGAAATAAACTTTATTCAATTAGGCTTATTACAAGCACTTTTGAATATGAAATATTGAAGCAAGGTGGAGACCGAAACCTATATGGAACAAATGTGAGATGGTGTCTAAAATCATATAGGTAAAAATTGAGAAGAAACGACATTCTTTTTACAATTAAACATATTCATATAATGTGTTCTGCTTTATATCTCTGGACCTTACATTTATGCGTAAATTTGTAGGACTATAACAGTCAGGCTGTATAAAGATAGTGTACAATTAATTATCGAGAAGGTAATGCATACACAAAGGAACTTTATAGTATGGAATAGACTATATATTTACCCATAATAACTCCCCTCCCCCCTCCCTTCCTTTTTCACCCCCTTAAGGGATGATTTCCGGTAAAAACTATCCTATGTCCTTCCCTCTCAGTCTCAGACTATCTCCATACCAAATATATCATTCAAATCGGTTCACCGGATTAAATGTGAAAAGGCAGCAGACAGACAGAGTTACTTTCGCATTTATAATATTAGTAACGGTGCTCGTAATACAGGTTTTCCTAGTACGAGCTCCTAAGCACTCTTACTGGATAATCTTATATTATTGTCTTAAGCGAAACAGTTATGTAGAGTATATTATTTTTGTAACCCGATTTTTTACTACAAATAAAGAATATTATTATTATTATTAGTATGGATGAAAATAATATAAATAAATAACCCACGGGCTCGGGCTGCGCGTGGGCGTGCGGCGGCGGCTGCGGCTCGGGCTCGGCGTCGCTGTCGTCGCGCTCGGCGGCCGCGGCCTCCATGGGCGGCATGCGCTCAAGCAGCGCCGGCCGCAGGTGCGCGTACTGTCTGCGGGATACATACGTCATCATTATTATTATTAATAATAAATTCTTCATTCATATATATCATAACCTAGTAAAGAGTAATCATACCCTAGCTTTGCTTACATGTCTAACAGTACAGTTGCTACAAGCAAGAACTATATAATACTAGCAGATCCCGCGACTTCGCTTGCGCTAAAACTATAAAAAAAACTCCAAAAAGGTAAGTTTCGTACAAACTTTCATACCCTATTTTAGCCCCTTATGGGACGAATTTCAAAAAATACTAAAACACGGGATTATTTAATTAAATTGAAAAGCATTAATACTAAGTTTCAAGTAATTCTGATCATAAATATTTTTTGTGTTGTATTATAACGTGTTTTCCCGTGGGAATGAGATAATCTCCCGCGGTAAAAAGTAGCCTATGTCACTCTCCAGCCCTCGCACTATCTCCACACAAAAATCACGCGGATCCGTCACTCTGTTTATACGTGAAGTAAAGCAAAACAAACAAACACACTTTCACATTTATAATATTGGTATGAACAATATTTTTTTATTTTTATTGACATAAATAATAAACTAATGACATAGCCTAGCTTTGCTTGGATGTCAAACAGTACAATTGTTACAAACAACAACTATATATTGACACGTCTAAAACCTTAATCTCTCCCGTGACCATGTAATGCATGTATAGCAGTATAGTTAATCGTTTCTTAGATTTACGCGAATATTTGACATTTTAAATAAAACTATATTTTGGGATTTTTTCGCGAATTTATTTTGATTTTTAGTTTACGATTTTTCGAATGCTTTACAGCAATCATGGTCACGGGAGAGACTAAGGTGTTAGATGTCCCAAAGGTATTATATAGTTATTACAGACAGCCTACCCACACAAGTAACAAAATGAATTCAATAAATTGATAAATCTTATAATATTTTTTAATTTTAAACATTTTTATAATTTTAATTAGTTTTAGTAGGTAAGTTCTTACTGTGTGGATTAAAATGACAGCATTTCAAATTAATATTTTTCAATTTTTCAGCTAAACTAATACATAAAATAAAAATAAGACAAAATCCGAAAAGATATGTTTTATTTAAAAAATCATCCATTACATCACCAATATCACGTAGAATGGAGAAGACACATGGGAGATTGATTGGTAACATAAGATAATAATCTAACCTAAAAAAATAACATTTCTTACTTGTATAACTGTGATAGTTCAACGCCTCTTTGTTGCAATTCGATGTGAATATGCGAGCCGAAAGTGTCTATTATTACGCGTATTTTGCTGAAAAAAAATTATAATGTTGTTATTATCATAAAAAATAAAAGAGACTTAAGCTAAAGAAAATATATTATTTCTGTATATAAATATAAAAAATATGTATTCAGCCCTTTTTAACGTCCCACTGCTGGGCACAGGCCTCCTTTCGATGCGAAGGGGATCATAGTCTTCAGATATCTTTCAAAAACTTGTTCAGTTTTCTCAGACATGCAAGTTTCCTCGAGCTATTTTCATTCACCTTAAGACAAGTGGTAATCATGATGGAAATAATTCGCAATGAAAACACCAGAGATGCGGGACCCGGAATTTGAACCCGCACTCAGTATAAACTTTTTATGTTTATAATAAACAAAAATTTATTAATAAAATTAATTAAATAACATTTTAAAATATCACTCACTCTTGACTGGGTCGTGTAGTGAAGCGAGTGGATAGTTTCGCTAGAGAGAGTAGCAAATACTCCTTGGTGGTGATCGAGAGCTGCGTGGACCACAACAGCTTCTGGTATATGTCTATCACATACTCTTCTGAGGGACGGGTGAATTCATCTGAAAACGACATTTTATATATGAATCAACGATTGTATTCAGTCCTTCTTAAAGTCCCACTGCTGGGCACGGACCTCTCAAACGAGGAAGATCAGGCCATAGTCCACCGCGCTGGCCAAGGACAGGTTGGACTTCATATACCTTTCGGAAACTTGCTAGATTCTATCAGACATGCAGGTTTCCCTCGTGATGTTTTCCGTCACCTTAAGGCCAGTGGTAATCATTTTCGAAATGATTCGTACGTGAAAATATCAGAGATACGAGACCCGGGATTTGAACTCGCTTCACTTGTTGTCCCAAGCGAGCACGTTACCACTGCAATTTATATTGCAAGGATAGAAAAATTTGGAAAAAAAAGAGTACTGGTGAAAACTACATTGTATTAAAATGATGGTTTGCGTAAGTATTCGTCGTCTCAAGATTCTCTCGAGCTTATTTTTTTGTCTAAATTACCAATTTACCGAACGAGTTTTTAATACAGAATTATTAACCTTTAAATGTTAATTATATTGGTATCAAATACACATTTTACTTTCAAAAATCCGAAATGATATATTTTATCTATATATGCATATAAATCTTAGAATGAAACTTTGTTTGTAAAATATATAGAGGAGGAAAACTCTACTGTAAAGTACAACAAGTATTGATAGTTTGAACAAATGAGCACTAAGGCGAGATATTGTATTGAATTCATGACTTTGGCGTACGAGATAGTGTTATTAAAATATCCACTATTTGACAACCAGTCATTAATTTATTTTTGTTAAGTATTATATAAATTATTTTATATCTTCTATAATATTATACATAACTAAACATTTAGCACGTACCAACACCATCCTCATCCACCATGGAAATGGCGCTACTGGCCTCCGACACCAACATATCTCCGTATTCACCAATAGTCCACGCGGCGACCTGAAGTGAAAACATAATAATATGAAATATTATGAAAGTTGAAATTAAAACATCATAGTACTTGGATCATTGTTTGGTCCACTATAATTTCTATACTTATGTAGAATCGAATTGGCAAACAGATTTACAACAAAAAATTCTATTAATATTAATATGTATGCTTGTTATTTTATCGAACTGGTAGTGGTTTTAAATTATTATACTGTACAGTCTCTAGTAATATTATAAAGAGGTAAAGTTTGTAAGTTTACATCTATCGGGTAATCTTTGACACTACCGCTCAGTTTCCGAAAAAATTTTAAAGAATAGGAAGCTATATTATCGCCGTGCGAATCGCGGATAAGTTGCTGCTTATTTATATTTTGTGTTTGTACTGGTACAAAGTGTTTAATAAATTCAAAATGCGGTTAATAACAAAATATTAAAATATGATACAATTCCATTACTGCGATAACCTAAAAAATCTTTTTCTTGCCTTCACCTTAAGCTACGCTAAATCTATTCTCTCTACATCATCATACTCTTTAGTTTCTCGGTCATCATAGATGTTATTTTCAAACTACCCACAATGTTTTCAATCTCATCTTTCTTTCATCTACTGACACGTTTCTTATGAGGACACGTTTGGCTCAGTTTGTAGCCACCCTACTTGCTGTGTCGGTGGTCGCAGGTTCGAGTCCCGCTGGGGGCATTCATTTGTGTGATAAGCATGAATATTTGTACTCCAGTCATGGCTATTTATATTTATAGTATGTATGTATTTAAAGTTATATATGTGTATTAACTATCCGGTATCCATAACACAGGCCTCGTAGCTTACCATGGAACGAGATGGTGCTGTATGGTAATGTCTCAACATATTGTTATTATTATCTATGTCTTTTAAGAAAAAGAAACCCTCAAATCCCGTGAGAAACCCCAGCAGCTCACCTGTATGAGGGGCTGCTTCTCGGTGGCGTCGGCGGCCAGCGCGGAGCGCTCCAGCGACGTCCACAGGCGCATGGCGGCGTAGGCCTGGCGCGCGCCCGGCGCCGCCGACACGATCTGCAGCGTGCTCGACACCGTGTCGTCGCGCAGGTAGTTGCCCGCCTGCGGGCACAACGGCGGATTTAAAACTCATTCCTCTATACATATAAATAAAATTGAATTGTCCGTTTGTAATGTCCAAACAACAGCTTTTTACTAAATGCATATGGAATTATATACGGTATTTATAAGAAAAAGCACAATTTTTAAAACTTTTGTCTGTCCGTCTGCTTGTTCCGTCTAATCTCCGAAACGGCTGGGCCGATTTTGATGGGACTTTCACTGGCAGGTAGTCGATGTTGCAAAGAGTAACTTAGGCTACTTTTCTTCCAGTATAAAAATTAGGACTCCACTCAAAAAATTAAAATGTACCTAGCGACGAAGAGTCACTAGGTAACTTTTATACATATAAACAAAATTGAAGTGTCTGTTGATATGTTCAATTCAAAATGAAACATCTCTTAAAATGACACAAATGAAGTATTTGTGTCATTTTAAGATATTCGGTGAAGGTACGGCACACACACTCCTCACCTTCAGCAAGACCTGGAACAGCGTGTCCAGATGCCACTTGCTGGAGGGCGCGTGGCGCTCGGCCGCCAGCACCATGGCGCTGGAGCAGTGCGCCTTGAACTCGGCGTCGGAGCGCTCGAGGAAGACGAGCAGCTCCTTCATCATCGCGCGGATGTTCTGCCCGTTGATCAGCGCGAATGACAGTTCCATCGCCCGCCGGCGGATAGACACGTCCGGGTCCTGGAAGGTGATGGTGTTGTATTTTTTAGATTTCCTTAAATTCACGCGAATATTTGACATCTATCTACACATATTATAATAAAATTCTAAGCTGAAGCTTTTTGGAAAATCTTATTGAAATATACATTATTATCGATACAGAGGTCGATCCTATAGTTTTTAGAATTTTTCTATTCTTCTGTTGTTTCTGTTTGTCAGGATGTGACCGCATCACGAAAAAACCACTGGACAGATTTTGATGAAAATTGGTATGATGATTGAGCTGGTTATCTGGGTCAACATATAGGATACTTTTTACTGCGGGAAAATGTATTATCAACCTGAGCGGAGCAAAAATGAGCCCCTAGTTTTAAATAAAGCTATATTTTCGGATCCTTCCGTGACCATGATTGATGTAAAGCAATCGAAAAGTCGGGAACCGGAAATCATAATAAATTCGCGAAAAAATAGTTTTATTTAAAATATTATAAAATAATTATACTACGTTAAATATAACGAATCTTATAAAAATACCTAGACGAGACAATATAAGGTCATAACAAAATCATGGATGTAAAAAATTAACAGATTTAAAATTTGGAGGAAAAACAAAAAATGAAAGAACACGATACGATAAATGTTACATACATATAATAAATGATACAGCATTAATATCTTAAATAAGTCAAGAAAAACAACTATCAATATAAATATTCGCCTTACGCAGGAATCAAATCCGCAACCTTCAAGCGGGCATCATATTACAGTTATATGTATGTATTCATATAATTAAAAAAAAAATAGAATAAGTTACCAACATTTTTAAACTACACGCTACATGAGTGTTAGTCGCCGCGATATACAATTGGTAATCATTGAATTGACATTTGATATCAACGTTAGCAACGACATATAGTGTCAATTGCAAGTAATTTATATATAGTACAAGTATATAAAGTCCGCTAATTATAAAGGTATTACTGCGTATTTAAAAACTGCGGCTTCACCCGCGTTCAATCTTCTGATATAAACATAATTTTTACAATAATTTATGGGAGTCTGCCCAATTTGTTGATATTTATGATTACTACTCCCGCATCCTTGGGTAGTAGCATGATGATATATAGCCTATAGTCTTCCTCAATAAACGGGCTATCTGATGCAAAAAGGATTAGTAATTCCTGAGATTAGTGCGTTCAAACAAACAAACAAACTGTCTCTCTATAATATTAGTATAGGTGTTTGATTTAAATCTGTCGACTTATTTTCAGGTGTGATGCGTGACATAGGCAGTGGTAGACCATGGTAATGCTCTCGCTTGGAAAACCGATTGAAACGGGTTCAAATCCCGAGTGTAGCTCCTCTGTTATTTCCACGTGCGAATAATTTCTAACACAATAATCACTTGTCTTACGACGAAGGAAAACATCGAGAGTAAACTTGCATGTCTGAGAGAACCTAGCAAGTTTTCGAAAGACATGTGAAGTCCGCCCGCATTCGGCCAGTGTGGTGGATTATGGTTTAATCTCCCTCATATTGGGAAGCTCATAACCAGCAGTGGGACGTTAAAATAGCTGAATACAATAATAAATTATATTATTATCTTTACCTTTAGACATTCTAATATGGTGGTCCTATGCCTTTGCACAGCCGAAGTGTCCACGTGCACCGTCCGTAACAACGTGTTCAAGGCCACATAACGTATATTCTTGTCATTGTTGAGAAGAAATCTGCCCAAGATATTGATGGCCAGAACTCGCAAGCTGCACTCAGATTTAATGTCCATTATTGATAGAACTGTCTCGTACAGGATGGTATTGCCGACATTTTTGCTGGTCTCCGTGTTAGTTGCGACTTGGGCGAGAATATCGTTCATCGCTTCGGACGCCTCCGCGTCGTTCTTACCCAATATTCGGAGAAGACGGAGGATTTTCACCTGAAATTTAATAATTTCATAATATTGAAACCCCTTTTGAGAATATTTTTGGATTAATACTAATTATTATTATTACTGGAGTCTCTATCAACTTTTTAGGATATACCTACTGTTCATTGAATTTCATGTGATGGATAAAGTGCTATTTTCCGAGAAATCGACTAAAAAGGAACTTTTCGACTTGTGATATTAGTAATACTTACATATATTTAAAAATTAAATATTTTGTTGTATGTATAAGTACGATGTTTTCATTTAATAAGCAGTTATACGATATTTTATGTACCTGTAGGAAAGGATCCGAAACGCCACTGACATCGTGTTCCGGCGAATATCCAGCTAATATAAGATTCTTCAGTATTCTCACCAAATTGGGCACAATCTAAAACGATAAAACTTCATTATTTATATTATAACTATCTCAATTTTGCTCCCAAATACACACAAAGAGACAATGTAAGCTTATATTTTTATTTACACAACAATTACAATATTTCAGGCATCGAGTACTAAATACTGAAATATAAAAAAAAAACTTTACGCCAAATATACAATGATTTATCACATTACAGAGGCAAATACATCGAATAAACTGATAAATAAATGAAAAAAAAGAAAAAATATATGAACTCCATCCCCCCATATTCCGTTTTGATATTAGTCACATGTGCGATTTACAAACTCGTGTTCATTTTAAGTACTATGTCAATAGATGATATTTATTATTTAGGTGAATGATTGAATCGAAAATACTAACTATAAACTATATGGAACTCCATCAAAAATACTATTGTTTTAAATATATGAAATATTGAAGAAATTGGAAGACCTATTATAAAAAATTGATGTTAAATACATATCCATAAAAGTATTATCGCTATTATAATATGTCCCCGCTAAAATTTAAAGAAGCCTTGTAGTCCATTACTTTCATTAATATGATATTATTAGATCTACATTGAATTATAAATTGAATACCACATCAGTCCCGTCCTCCTATCCTGTTAGTCTTAGTGATATTAATATTAAATAGATTAAAGGGAAAGTGCATAACGGTCTATCCTGCCTACGACTTTCCGTCCACATGAGATATAAAATAATATAAATCAATGCATGTGGGAACAACTCCTAGATTTCTAAAACAAAAACTACTGAATAAATCAAAACATTTAGTAAAATAAGTATATATTATAAAAGATTTTGCTGAAATAAATCACTTGGGAAAATTATAATCTGATAAACTTTAAGGTCTCCGTATTCTCTATCGCTTTCATTTCGCTTAGGTCAAAGCGAGATAGTTGCAAAGGTCAAATATCAAAGTTCAACGCTAATGGACTATAAGACTTCTGAATGGTCTAAACGTATAGGTACATACAATACAATGTAACCAACACAATAGTTATACATTCATGCGATTTTTGTAATTTAGCCTGTCGAGAACAATTTTCATGTTAGGATCGATTAAAGGTTTAACACTTAACTTTTATTTAAATTGCTAATTTTCTTCATTTTAACTTTTAATTATTCAATCAATCACTTTCGTGTATAACAATAAATTATTAATTTCTATCGACAGACTAAATTATAGTGCAAGGATCAGCGGTAGTGATTACCTCGCGCTGTCCGCTCTCCTACGGGACAACACAAACAAACAATATTAGTACTTGTCAACTGTACAAGTTCATCTTATATCAAAGTATCTCTGAAATTGTTCAAAATATAAACATCAAATTAGCGAAAATCACGGTGGTTGCAAAAAATGAGTATAAATGGGTTAGGAAATGTAATTATTATGGCGAGTCTGTGAAAAACTACCCAGATTTTGAGACCGATATAACTCATTACCCCCAATTAAAAGTTAAAATAACATGAATAATAATAGAATCTTTGATTTTTAATACGTAGATTTACTAATAATTTACAAAATCAAGCGATATTCACAATAATGGCAGTATATAAAGTCAAAAGAAACAACGAATGTACTGATAAGCGATCGTTATCAAACGTGTGAGACGATAACGTGACGTGTTCTATTTACATTTATTTTTATCAGCGGCTTATCTGTTATCACACCTAATGTGTTATCATAGAACAGCTAGAATAGTATAATATTGCAGGTATTCAGTTTTGGGCTAGAGCCAATAAGTTTCATCTTTAATGCCATAATAATGTTATAATTATGACCTAATCTTTGATATTATTATTCAAACTACTTAAAAAAAAACGTGTGTGTGTACTTATGTACGCACGTAAGAAGTTATACTTCTTTGGCGTTATAACAAAAATAGCTGAAGATTTCATCCCGTATGTCACAACTCTGTGTTTGTAAAAGGAATGATAAATTAATAAAAATAAATGACAGTTATCATCTAAGTTCATCATGTCGCTTTTTGGCTGTCGGTGTGCGCGCGCATAATAAAAATTTTACTCTCATATTTTTTTCCAATCGAGCCAAAGGAAGTATGACTTCAAAAAAATCAACCTTATTGTTAGACTATTTCAACGATAACTTAAACCAATATATGACAAATTTGTCGTAAATTCAAAGAAAGTACTGAAGATTGTCTAAAAGTAAATGTACTTACTCTATAATATGATATTACGCCTACTACGTAGGTAGGTAATATATAGGTATAAAAATGGACATGGAAAACATTCTACAACGCAGAAGATTTATAAAATCTAAACACAAAATTTGCTATCAGTTTTGGCCACGGGGTCATTGATTGAATGTAGTCGACCTTGATTGACCTTATAAGGAATGGGGAGCAATGATTTAATATTGTATGTCACCAACGTTGCTTTGTCGGAAATAATAATAGGAAACATCAAAAGAGCAATTTTATTTGAAGCTAACAATAGTTACCAAGTATCTGGTTCGCTCGAATCTCTGAATCTCTGAGTGTGTTACGTACGGTGAGTTTCATCCAAATCGGTCCAGCCGTTTCAGCGTGCATTAGTAACAAACATACACACATAAAACCTTTCGCATTTATAATAACAATTCGAATACCAACACTCAAGAGAAACGTCTAAAGCAGGAGTTGAAAATGGTTAAGAAATAAAAATCTTATTGCAATACACTATTTCATTGCTGCTATTATGATTAATATCGATCATAAACTCGACTAAAAATCTTATTAGATGGTGACTTTATTAAGATATACAAATTATGTAAAAGAAAATACTTTTCCACAAGTACTTAAGTATTCAGCGCACACTTGCCTCTATTTAAAAGTCGAGCGGCAATTTCTTTTTGATTGAAACCCGTCTAACGAGATTGATCGACACAAGTTTTAAAACGATTTCTTTTAAGTACATTATATATTTTTTTGTTACTGTTTAGTAGTTCATATACTTACAATAAATTATATAAAGATAATATTGTTTGATGTCAATTCTGCAGGGGATTGAGTGAGTTTCCTTGTCTTTGTATGCGTTATACCTAGCATTATTTACAAATCTATACTAATATTATAAACAGGCAGAGTTCGTTCGTTTCGAATCATAAATAATAATAAATGCTCAGGAACAACTAATCCGATTTAAAAATATATTTTTCCATTAGATATCCCGTTTATTGAGGAAGGTTATCTAATCTAATGTAAAATTAACATATGATACAAATGTTAATTCACAAGTGTAAACTTTTTTTTGAGAAAATAAAGTGTTATTATTATCATCTATACCTAGGTACATATAATAAAAAAATTAAAAAAAAACGGCATCCAAGCACTAAAATGTAAAAAATAACTAAACGGGGGTTTTCATTTAGAATAGATACCTAATCAGATATTTTCGAAGTTTTACATATTTATTTATTTATTTAAACAAAGCATTAGTAAATATGGCACATCAAGTAAGCATACCTAAACAGTTAACATAATATTATAGGAAAAATAACATCATTGAAAAACATCGTAAATATCGCATATTTACACTTAGTCTTATTAGTTGTTATTCTTGTATATACATACAAAGTCATATAATTGACTATTCAAAATGAACACTGTTTTAAAATTAATATTTGTTTGACTACTGTATTAGTAATTATTATTATACATATTATATACTGGCGACACCATCCTCGCTTCGCCTTGGTTCATCCCTAGCTTGCTTCCCAATAGAAATTGTCATCCCCATTTTCACCCCCTTAAGGCATGATTTCCGGGATAAAAAGTATCTTATGTCCTTCCCATGGTCTCAAACTATCTTCTTAGCAAATTTCATCTAAATCGGTTCAGTAGGTCCAGAGATTTCCCCCTACAACGTCACAAACTCACAAACTTTACCTCTTTATAATATTAGTATAGATAGGTTAAAAGTTAAACGATTTTCATAAATTATAGGTGAAGGGACTTTGTATTAGACTAGCTAGCTAGTTTGTCCTGTCTTTTTCAGGGTCCCCGAAGGGTGCCAACGGAGCCTTATTACTAAACCTCCGCTGTTCACCCGTCTGTCTATCCGCGGGGTGTATCTCATGAACCGTAATAGACAGATTTACTGAGTATATATTTCTATTGCCGCTATAATATAAAAACTTTTTAACAAAAAAATAAAAACCGACTTCAAACAAAAGCACTAAAAAGTAAAAAATAACTGATTGGTAGTTTTCATTTACTATACATACCTAATCAAATATTTTCGAAGTCGGTGTGTAATGACGGCTTATACTCGTATATGTATTATAATAAAACCTAGCAAGTTTTTGAAAGACATGTTATGTCCGCCAACCCGCACTTGGCCAGCGTGATGAACTATGGCCTGATCCCTCGGTATTGAAGGGAGGTCCGTGCCCAGCAGTGGGACATAAAAAAGGCTGAATACATATTATAATACAAAATTGTCTTGTGATTTCGAGCCCAAGTACTTAAATGTGATGCTCAAGATGTATATTTGGATCTACATGTTTATTTTTATTAACTTTCCGACAGAGAATAATTTTTGGCCGCTGTTCCATTCGCGTGTTCGATACTTTGATAAAAAGAGGTTGATAAGAATCAAAAATATATAAACTATTTAGAAATTCACTCAAATTCTTCGAACGTGTGCTTCTGGTAGTGTGAAGTAGTAGAAAGCGTATATCACACTCAAATCAAATCAAAATATACTCTATTCAAATCGACTTTTACAATCACTTTTGTATCGTCAATTTCAAATTTAAATTAAATGTAAGTACAGTCAGTTCGTGAGGAATCTACGGACTCGGAAAGTCAGTACTGCTGAGAAGAACCTTCGAGAAACTCAACAGTAGCTCTTTTAAAATAATAATTGTGTATAATATTGTAATACAATAATAATAATCTATTCATCCTACGTGAGACCTAACCAGATATTAGTTCCACACATTGATATCTACGAAGTATTCTGTGACAGTATAATAAGCCTTGTTCACTAATACATTTTTAATTTTAGACTTAAACTGTTTAAATGGCAAGCTCAAAATCGATTGTGGAATTCTATTATACATGTGTACACTGTAACTGTACTAGCTCAAACATTCGAATTTAGTATATATAATAACCTTAATTATGTTTATACTTTTTTATTATCGTTATTGCCATAAATACTATAGAGACAACTCGATTACTAATACTAAACCAATTTAATACGTCGTACAAAAATTATATGGTTGGATGGGTTCCAGGACAGGTAAAATGTTTTTTCACTACCCCCAAAATATATTTTCAAATCAAAGTATAGTTAATTAGTTAACTTAAATTGTCTTTAACTAGCTATTAAATCGTCAATTTCAACGTTTTAGTTGAATTTCAGTATTGCGAGTTCGTGAAGAAGCTATCAAAAGCTCCAAAGGCAGTCTGCTAAGATCCAACGAAATACTCAACAATTGCTCTTTAAGGCGCTCTTTTCCAGAATTTAGGATATTTTGAACCATTATAAAACCACGAATATAATACATATAGTTCTAAAATTCATACATGTTATAGTTAAGGATAATAGCTAAGTACCCGGAGAGGCCAAAACACGATTGGCAATAGTTCACTCGATAGAAAAAAAATTCAAAGATAGGTCTAAAAATACCTTAAAATCTCTGATACACACAAAATACATTATTATATGATATGAAAGTTATACTCATAGATTTAGCTTGTCATTATTTAGGTATTCGGAGAAACAGATTTTCATTTATTAACTTATATTTATGGCAATAGGCGAAAAACAGATAAAATGAAACGGGTCGTCGCGCGCTGGCGCCTAGGGAGCGGCGATTCTGGAAAAGAGCGCCTTAAAACTACATTTGTTACAATAATGAAATCTCATAATTTTGTACTTATCCTACGTAAGTATCAAATAGAATTTATTCCAGAAATATTTGGTGGCCTAATACTTTGCTTTGCTTTTATAAATTTAGACTTAATTTTTCAAATAACTTATTTGTAAACTCGATTATGGGACAACTTTAGTCCCTTCACGACCGCGGACACGCCGACGTTACAGTAAACAATAGATTACTTAGAAATTCAATTAATTTCTTAGAAATTTACCTGGAGGTGTTAATATTGATTTGATACTTCAGTAACAACACAGCCAGCCAGTGATAGCGTGACCAGAAGGCAATAATTAATTTAATTTAGACTTTGCCGGTATATAAATACCTATAAGTATTTTAGTACCTATAGGATGAATATTTAGTGGTCTAAATAAGGTTACCTGTTAAAGCGAGAGTAAGGTCTAACACATGTGTCATCGACAAATAGACACAAGTGAATTTTAAGGATGTCAATTTTTTACGATCATACGTACAATAGGATTTTCAATATTTAAAAAATAATATATTTCAAAAACGTTATATTTTTTCATAAAAAGAAAAGAAACATAAAATAACCTTAACTTAAACAATATGCCTAAAAATACACAACAAATATACACAAAGTGTAACCTACAACAATTCGTGTCTAATCAATTCGCAAACAATCTAAAAGTATTCACACTATGTGACCAGTTATAAATGAACCTTAACTCAAAATGGAAACTGTATATTCGACGTACCTTTTTAAAATGGTTGAGTGTGTCCGGGCTGTTCTCGCACATTTCTGTGATGAGCGTAACACCAGTGATGAGGACACCTGGTAAAAAAAAATAAAATTACGCTGAATTTGAGTAATAACATTGTAGTTGTAGTTTTAATTCATTTAAAACAGAAATTATGTTTAAAAAAACTCGATCAAAATCTGTTCATCCATTAAAGAGCTACGATACCCATAGATACAATGGTTGCCATAGATAAAATATATAAGTACAATATTTAAGCTTCACCCCATTGTTTGCGTTAGGAGTTAAAAATACATATTATTTATATTTATACTTATTTGAATTCGACCTACTTATATTTTTAATACTATAACTAACCTTATAAAGGTTATCTTCTCTAATATGCTATAATGATGTATAAAAAATAATAAAAATAATCATGTCTAATCAGTTTGCAATTGTTTTATTAAATGGCAATGGCAGTTTTTGTTATGAATCAATGCTTTTGTGTCGAACAAGCAAGTACGTAAATGTATTTCAATTTTCAACGAATAACACTTATTATCTAACAACGGCAACTACAATACAAAAAAAATACCTACTAATAATTCTAAATATCAGACAGTTATAACTCTGTCGTCTCAAATGGAAATGAAAATGGATTTATTCTCATTTCTATTGCATTCTAAAAAAAGCGTTCGACTTATATAACATTGTATTTATATGTTGCATTACCTACTAAATATATATGTACTTCTTTCCAACAAAATTGCGGAAACTAATTTAACTTGATACAAAGTTTTATAATATAAAACCTAATTTCACTAAATCTATTGTTGGATATCGTGTAGAATTTTTAAAGTTTCTATGATTAATATTCGTCTACCTATATTTAAAATGATTTCATTTTATATAGGATGAAAGAAAGACAAAGCAGAATCAGCCACAAAATATCCACCTTCGTCCACCGAAAGTGTCAAGATAGTTATTTTACTAAACATATTTAAAATCAACGCAAACATTTACCTTATACGTGAACCGAACCTGTGACTTCCAACGAGGTAGACAGCTAATCAAAGCATCGCACAAAACCACAAAAATTTACTGAATCTCCTTCGTATCTTCTCCATTCTACGTGACATTGGCGAAGTAATTAATATATGCTCAACTGGCACGCTTTGAAGCCATTAACAAGAGAATTGAATTGAAAGAACAAAAATTATGTATAAAAATAATTTCTACAGACATGCTTACCATGATTTTTCTCTGTCAGCAAACTCCTGGTGGCCGGTAGGAACATTTCCATCAGATCAGGCACACGTCGTATTATCCTGAAGGCGCACAACGCTGCCTTCTTCTTTATGTATGCGTTTGGGGATTTTATTAGCCTTTCAACTTCCGACGCGAGGTCCCGAGCCATTTCCGGCGAAGCAATCGCGCCTAATGTACAGAGGGCTAGGCCGACTACGAATTGTGTGCTACTGTTTAGGTCACTGTGAATAATAAAACGTTATTTAGTATTATTAGAAACTTTAGTGTTAGGGTACAGTTTTATAATAAGTTAAAAGGTTGGAATCGCATTCAGGTGCGGCTGGATCGATTTTAGTAAGAATAATTTTATTATCTACATATTAATACGTGAAGAAAAACCTTTGTACCCCTTTTTACAAAAATTGCGCGGACGGAGGAGTATGAAATTTCACTTATAGTTTATATAGAGAAGGAGCAATGCTAATTTTTTTTTAAATTATGCATAAGAAATACATTAAAATAATAAAAAAACATTACACGCACTAACCATGTATTTGACACACACACGCATATATACTCTTTTGTTTATTGTTAAAGTCGGTGGTCAAATAGAGAATTATGTAGAGTTTAATAGCTATTGACGAGCTTTAGTTTTATAAATAAAAAAATCAATAATAATCATGGTCGAAGTTCGACCACTCGGCGAACTCTAGCGTATATAAAGAGCGGATCTGGTAGACGCTGTCCTGCCACAGATCTCGTTTGGTCTTGAAAAAATCCTGATCTGCCCAACAGCTACCTACCAGGTCCCGTAGCTAAAAACCATCCAGTAGTATAAATACACAGAATAATGATTTTATATAGATCTAAAGATGATTCTGAATAAAAAAGAGAACTATCTGTTAGATTTCTTTTTAAGTCGCTACAGACTTTATCGAGTTCTTAAATTTTTAAGATTATGATGAGTTTTTATAGTTTTCCCCATTTAATTGAAATAAATAACGATGAATCTTACATTCGTTAATAACTGAAAATTCAATACTTCATGGTTCAACATGAAATTCTATACAAAATTGAAATAATTTATAGAATAAATGGATCTCGATAGAATAAAAAATATGTCATTCTTACTTATTTAACATTTTAATATGAATATTATTTTTCCTCTTCGCATGAAAAATTTTATTAGACCTAAACTCGAACGATGGTGACTTAATCAAAACTTTATATTTGAACCGAATAAGTTTGAAATATAAACAACTAGAGCTCTCACTTCTACGCGCCTATAGGGACCGGCTTTAGAGTTTAAATACCAAAAAAATAAAAAAATAATATAATAATACAAACGAACCGTAGACAGTAGCAACAATAAACCATAATTTAACTTAATATAAACAAGTACAAATAATGACGATGATTTATATCATATCGAATTGTATCGTAGCGATTTTTGTCGGTTTTCAGATGTCGCGAGTCCAACTACTCATATGGTAGAAGGTTCTATTTTCTACGAACTTCTATCTTATGCTCGTTCAAACTCCTAGTTCTTTTCCACTTTTTCTTTCTATAAATCATCACTCGATATGTCCATCGAGATAGATGTAAAGCATAAATAAAAAAAAACATTATATGCATGTACATTGTACATAAAGTGAAAATGAAAAAGCAATCTGTAATCGCTTGCTTCAGATCACACTACACCCTGTGTGAAAAAAAATAAAGCTCCCACCGTAATCCGTGGATTTTTTTTTCATGATAGTTTTAGATGTTATTTTTGTAAGAATCCTATTCCTGCAAGTTCCGTTAATATTAGTAAATTTTTTTTCTATCCTACTTTTACTAGAAAATCCTTTTCCTTTCTCGGAATAAAAATGTAAATATGTCCTTTGTGGCTTTTCTAAATTAAAATAAATATACTGGGATATACATTAACACACGGCCACATCTAGTTCCATGGTAAGCTACAAGGATTGTGATAGGGATACCAAATGGTACACTACACACATGAAACATTCAATACATATACGTATATTTTAAATATAAACACCCATGATAAACAAATAAATGCCCTCAGCGGGAATCGAACCCGCGACCGCTGGCACAGCAAGTAGGGTCATTGCATATATATATATATATATATATATATATATATATATATATATATATTTATTGTATAACTGTGAAGTATGAATTAAGCAAAGAAATAGCGGTTAGAAACGACACTCAGGTATTGCTCGAACGATCCAAATAGTCGAGATCATTATACAAATTCAATTATGTCAAGATTTTCTGAGGACCGAACAGCGACAACGAATAATCCAATTAAAAAGAAAAGCAACATGCGACGAACGAAGAGCTTCGTTATGTCCAAAAATATTGTATTTATATGTTGTTCGAAATTTTTGAATATAAGATTAGATAGTAAGAATAACATTTGTGGAATCTATATATGTATGTTTGTGCGTATGTTCCCTGTGGACTCCAAAACAGCTGGAACGATTTCGATTAAATTTTCAGGCAAGCAAATATTCAGATTAGCCGAGCGGGTGATCATGTGAAGTTTGGTAGCGATCGGAAGTTTAAACTAGCAATAACAAGTTCTAATAGTAGCTAATTAATAATTACATATTTACTAGTGAGGCAGCTTAGGCTACCGGGTACATTTTCCATTCCAGCTTTTAGCTTTTTTTTGCACATTTTAGCTTACAATTATAGTAAAAATGCTAACGTATAACATAATAATAAGCTAGAGCGACGAAAAAGGCTAATTGAGAGCATGAAAACGTTTTCGACATACAATTAACCGTGCGATAGTTACGGCAAGCATTGGAATATACCGGCTAATTCATGTAAATTGTCTACGGCTTACTTAACGTTAAGCACAAATAAGCGCCTATAGGTTATAGACATGAACGAATTAGAGACTGGACCTGACATAAAATACAAACGTATGAAAACTAGTTCAACCAAGTGACGCATAACGCACACAAAGATTTTATTAAATTATTATAAACACTGATACACAATACAATATTTCTAGTGCTTGAACGTAATCGATAAAATACATATATCGATGAACCAATGAATGACATTTTAGACATTGGTTAGCATAGTCATCATATTTTACATCTTTTAATTTATTCTTCTTCTTTTAATTTTAATAAATTAAAATAAATGAATTAAAGAGGCAATAATAATGTGTCAAATAATAATTATTTTTTAATTTGATTTATATAAATACGATGGCATTGATGGCTACATTCTGTTGCCTTATAATAATGTTAATGAACAAATGAATATCGGGTATATATTCCATTAATATATAATAAATATTATTTTGTAAAGATTAAAAAAAATATTAAGCTAATTTAATTAAATAAAGTGATTTTGTTGATTCTGTTATTGAACTATTTTAATTGGCAATTGATTGTCTCGGGTAGTTATAAAAATGTGACACTGTCCTACTATTGCTCAGTTCTTAATAAACATTTGTGAAATTAGGAAAAAGAAAAAGAGATTGCAAATTAAAGTGAGTGTTGGATAGTGAAAGTAAAATAATTAGTGCAAGTGGTAAAGTGTTTTATTACAAATCGCCAACCCAGAAGTTTAGTGCTAAAACATTATTGTTTGATTTTGTGTAATTTATGTGTTGAAATAAAATGATCTTTATTATTATTACAATGGAATAATATTCCAAAGTATATAAATGTGGAATAAAATAAAATAAAAAATTAAGTACACATACTAATTATAATTTTTGCATTTATATTTTTATTTGATTTAGAAAATATTTTTATAAATTTATTGTCATCAGATTGTAGGATACTGTGGTAAAAGTATTTTATGTTATTGTACTGTACAAATAACACAATTCGTTTAGTAATTTCGTCAAATATCGATATATTTTTCGACATTGTCAAGCACTAGTCGATGTCAAATGGACTCACTCGACAGTTTAGTCATTTGTTCTGAATGGTATAATCCAGGGATTTTATGATGGTTGTCAGATGTCAACAATACATAGAAATATCGACTATATTTAACATAGTTGGATAATATGACATTTTATTTTACATTTAATTAAATTGTGTGATAAATAACAATAAATGTAATAAAATAATGTATTTACAAGTGAAAAGAAATACTGCTGCTTCTGCCGTTATAGTTTTTACATCATTTAACAGAACATTTAGTCATTTTTGGGAGATGTTTTGTTGACAATTAAGTGCTTGAGACTGACGCAAAAAACAAACGACCAAGCCTAAAATCTCCTGGTTACTGAGAAGACCGATAAAGGTACGTCCGCTTATATGTCTAGTCCAGTGGTTAATTCGTTCATGGTTATAGACGATGGATAAGGTACAAAATTTTAAGAGCTATATGAGTATGGTACATCGACATGTCGCCTTAAATTGGAGTCCCAAAATACAATTGGGTATGGCTAAATAACTGTGCTCAACTGGCACGCTTTGGAGCCATTAAAAAGAAAATTTAATTTAATGAATGGGTATCTTAATTACAGAGTACGCCTAAAGACCTTTTAAAATAACTTTTACAAATATGTACAATATTCATACGCTTACATATATAACATTAAATGTTGTTTGTCGAAGACATCTTATAAAATCAGCTATCTGCCAGTGAAAGTCCCGTCAAAATCAGTCCAACCATTTCAGAGATTAGCCGGAACAATCAGATACAGACAAAAAATTATAAAATTGTATTTTTAGTATAAATATCGTAAATAATTCAATATGCATTTAGTAAATAGCTGTAATTTTAACATTACAAACAGACACTTCCAATTTTAGTTATCTAAATAGATATATAATTTTAAGAGATATTCTTGTTTCAGTACTAACTTTACTTCTATTCATTAAACAGAAACGCAAGACAAAACCTTCTACTAACAGCTTTCAATTAAAACGTTAATCAGAGCGCGACCGGATCACGACGGCTCAGTCAACAAGACGTAATCCTCGTGTTACTCTAGTTTATAGTGTCACGTTAAACTTAACTAGTAACATTTTGAGAGTAATCTTATGGCGGATCCCAAATTATCTTTCTGTTGTTATCCTTTACAAGATATAGGAATTTGACACAATTTGTTTGGAGCTTATGTCCTATCCCTAGTAAAGAAAACTTTAGATAGACAATACTTTCTTTTTTTTTTACACCAATATGTTCATAGAAGTTGCGCGCTTTTTTTGTAATGCATTTACACAAACAAACCTACAAAATT